TGGCACGAACTACTCGATCTAGTTGGCCTAGGCTACTAAGCCTAGGCCGTCCTACTTTTTACCTACCTATCAAGCTACTATTCTGATATGCTATCAGAGCGTGTTTCGTCTTGGCCTGTGGGCCCGCCTCATGCTTCCGCTGCTACTTTTTTTCCGGTCGCGCGCCTAGGGCGCGTGGCGATTTTTCCTTGTCTCGCCCCCGGTTGGCGTGTGACTCCTTATCTGCCCGTCGCGCGCCCCGTGGCATGCGACGGTGCCCTAAAGCTGCCCGTCGTGCGCCCCGTGGCACGCGACGGTGCCTTGCTCGTCGTGCGCCCCGAGGCACACGACGGTGCCCTTAAACTTAAACTTACCCGTCGTGCGCCCCGTGGCACGCGACGGGCCTCTCCGCACCTGCTCTCCCTACAGCCGCCCCTGACCTATCAGCGCCGACACAGTTTAGCCGCTCTGCGGCTTTCTTCCCGCCCACCCCCTCCTCCTTTGTCTCCCTGCGGCCGTGGGGAGGAGGGTATGGGGGTGGCGGGTGTTGGAGTGTTGGGTCGTCTCCTTCCCTTCCCCTCCTCCTCCTTTCGTTCCCACTGCTGCAGCTGCCGCTGGGGGGGAGGGTGTGAGGGTGTGGGGGAGCAGGGGGAGTGGCACCGGGGTGGCGGGTGTGAGGCAACCAGCAGCCGTCCCTCCACCTCTCCTCTCTTCCCCCCTTCTCTGCTGCTCCTGCAGCAGTGCGGGGGAGGGGAAGGAGGAGGGTGAGGAGATGGAGGGGGTGACCAGCTAGTGTCAGCCCGCCTGCAGTTCCTGCTGTTGCTTGTTTTTTATTATTTTGCATGTGTACACCTGCAGGTTGTATTCTGCACAAACTTCTGCTGCAGGCAGTTATGGGGGAGTGTCAGAACTTATATTTGTAACTGCCTGTAGCTGTAGTTAGTGTAGTTATTATAAACATTGTTTGGTGGTGCACCTTCTTTGTTTCCTATGCTATATGTTCCTTGAAACCTATAGTGAATTCATTCTTCACATTCCCAACTCGCTCGACTCTCAAACCCTTCGCACGAACTACTCGATCTAGTTGGCCTAGGCTACTAAGCCTAGGCCGTCCTACTTTTTACCTACCTATCAAGCTACAATTTCGATAGCAGTGCGGCCGCGAAAGAAACAGCGAGAAGCACCTGAGTCCAGTGTGAAGGTGTGCAGTGCCTCAGTAGACTCAGTACCTGAAGGCGCAGACTCACAAGCACCTGAAGCAGCAGACACACGTGCACCTAGAGCAGCAGCCTCACAAGGACCAGGGGCAGCAGACGCACTAGCACCTAGAGCGGCAGCCTCACCGGCACCTGGAGCAGCAGACTGGATACCGGGGTTAGGCGGCATACACAGGTGACAAGCTCCCTCGGCACTAGTAGACAATGCATACATTGTGGTGAGAATAGCATCATAGTCAAGAGCAAATACATCTATCGTCTGCCTAAGCAGCTCCACCCAATCGGGGAGCTCAGCGTCGTCGCCAAACTCTGTACGCCAAGCGTCGCTCAGACGGGCGAAGCAGCGGGACTCTGTGTGACAACGCATCCCACAAGGCTGACCAGTCCGGACACCCGTGCTAATAACGTACGGGCAGCGAGCAGTACTCAGTGACCTTCGACTTTGAGCGTACCACTTACGAAGCTGCTGGCGCGAAAGAGTCTCGCGCGGACGACGCTGCTATTGCACCGGGCCACTACAAGAAGCTTCCGAGCTACCCACTCCAGGACGACTCCCACTACGGCGACCCCGACAACCCCAGCTGACGTACCACTCACGAAGCTGCGGGGGCGTGAGGGACACACGCGGACGGCCATGGAGCTGCATCTGGCCACGCCAGTAGAAGCAGTAGCAGCAGGAGCAGCAGTAGCAGTAGCAGCAGTAGCAGCAGCAGGAACAGCAGTAGCAGCAGTAGTAGCGATAGCAGCGCGGGCAGGGTAGTGCTCACCAGTGGTGGGAAGGGCAGGCGCACGACGGAGGCGACTGCGGGGCCGCTACAGCGGCAGGGAGCTGCGCAGCAGCTGCTGCAGGGCGAGGCGATGAATGCAGCTAGGGACTGCGCGGCAGGTGCTGCAGGGCGGGACCGGGCTGCGACGGGAGCTGGTGCAGAGCAGGGACAGGGCCGCGACGGCCGCTGCTGCAGGGTGGGGCGGGGCCGTGACGGCAGCTACTACAGGGCGGGGCAGTCCGCGACGGCAGCTACTGCAGGGCAGGGCAAACCGCGACGGCAGCTGCGGCAGGGCGGGGCAGTTTGCAACGGCATCTGCTGTAGGGTGGGGCAGGGCCGGGAAGGCAGCTGCTGCAGGGCGAGGCAGGGGCGGCCGTCCAAAGGGCGGGCGCGGGATAGGGCAGGGCGACGCGGCGGGCAGGGCGACGCGGCGGGCAGGGGCGACGCCGCGCGGGCCCCGCAGGGGCGTCGTGACGAGCGGGGGCGACGCCCGGGTCCCGCTTGGGCGGCGCGACGCGCAAGAGCCGCGCCACGCGGGTCCCGCAGGGGCGTCGCGAAGAGGCACTGGCGACGCGCGGGTCCCGCAAAGGCGTCGCGACGAGGCGGGGGGGGGGGACGTGCGGGTCCCGCCGAGGCGTCGCGAAGAGGCAGGGGGCGACGCGCGGTTCCCGTAAGGGTGTCGCGAAGAGGCGGGGGCGACGCGCGGGTCCCGTAGAGGCGTCGCGAAGAGGCCGGGGGCGACGCGCGCGGGTCCCGGCGGGCTGCAGGCGCCGACGTGCAGCAGCCGCGGCGCGCGGGTTACGGCCTGCGCGCGAGCGGCTTACGGGCGGCGTACGGGCTGCCTATGGGCTGCCCACGGGCTGCCTACGGGCTGCCTACGGGCGGCAGCGGCCTACGGGCGGCGTACGGGCTGCCTACAGGCGGTAGCGGCCTACGGGCGGCGTACGGGCGGCCTACGGGCAGCGTAAGGGCGGCCTACAGGCGACGGGCAGCCTACGGGCGGTGGCCTACCTGCAGGCAGGTCGCGGGCGGCTCGAGGGGCCGCGCGAGGCCGGTACGAACTGCGTGGGCGGCTAGCGGGCTGCGTGCGCACGGGCAGAGGACGGCCCGCGGGCAGAACGAAGGGCGGGGCGCGCGAGGGCGCACTAGCAGAAAGAAGGCGCACGAGGGCGCACGAGCAGAGAAAGGCGCACGAGGGCGCACGAAAGGTAGGGCGCACGACGGCGCTTCTAGCGGAATAGTGGGCCTGTAGTAGTAAGCGGTCCAAGGTGGCTAACCTAGGCTCGTGATACCATGTCATAATGAACAAGAGTGATTGAACTAGGAAAGAGTTGGGTACAAGTAGGAAACCCTAAACTTACTGTGCCCCATAGTAACTACCCCACTACAGCCTAAACAAACTGTTTCAGATATAACATTTGACAGCCGATGCCATCGTTTTCATTTCAGATTACGATTTCCTGGCAAACAGCACCGATCAGACAAGCGCCCGCATGTTCCTCAACAACCTTTCGGGAGCGTTGCGCAGTGTCACGTCACCCCACACTTTCTGTCTCGCACTTCACCAATCAACAAAACGTGAAATGAAGAGTCAGTTTAAACCAAACAAATGGTGTCTGAGGCGAGTCTGACATGTAGATAAAGGAGGTGTAGGGAACAGCCCTAAGATGCCGTTTCACGTGATTGACGGTGACGGGAAAATTTTGGGCGAAATTTTTGCCAGATTCATCGAATATAGGCAATTTCGCTAACAGAGATGGCCCCAGTACTGTATGATTCGAATCAGGGTCCCCTAGCAAAAGTAGGCTGACATTTCAGACCTGGTAAAAGAAAGTTAGCTGAAAAAAGAGTGTAGGCATAAATAAAAAAACTTTCTCATCAGGTTTGGGACCTAAAAATACCCTGAAAATAAGGGTAAAATTCCTGCAATCTGAGGGCCTGGTTGGAGCGCGACCGGTTACAAAATGGTGGGTTTTGGTTGGAGCGCGAAAACTTGCTAACATTGTGAAAACTTGTTGCAGTTCCGTCTGTGCGAAAAAAATGACAGTCGCCTATGTTGGGAATATAAACGTATGACTTGGTGCGTTTCTGTAGTATCAAACCTCACCCGATACTGAAGCACAACAAAAGGGGCACGAAGTCGAAAAGGCGCGTACCACATCCAACCACAACTGGAGGTTGCGAGTTGTAACCGCCTGGAGGTTACGCAACAGCAGGCGACGCTTCAGTGAACAGTAACCGCCTCGATAGTCGAAGCGTTACGCGTCTCGATAAACATAACCGCTTCCTGTAATCTATCCTTTCTATATATTCCTGTATGCTCTTTGCTTTAATCAATTACTTGTTCTCACATACCAGCACAAGTACATTCACTCAAGACTTCTGCTGTGCTACTCTAGCACCTATTAGCCTATTCTATGCAAATATCCTAAGGCTGAAATCCTCAGCCCAACAGCCTAGACGCGTAACATGATAGAGTTTCGTGAGGATTCAAAAATGGCGTACTTCACAGTGCGAATTTGATCAATGGACGGTATCATATGGGAAACACAATCGTTTGTTTTATCTACCTTTCGTTTTTAAATCCAATTTCAAGGAAAACCAAGAAGGTTTCACGCTCAAACTCACCGCTCGGCCTAAAAGAGGTGCCACATTCCGTTGCCGGGACTTAACCCCGGGTCTCTTGGGTGAGAGCCGAGTATCCTAACCGACTAGACTACAACGGATACAATTTAATAGAAAGCATGTTTTATCAGTCTTAAAACTTGACGTCTTCTGATTCTGATCGCTGGACATCTATATGTGCTACAGACACGAACGTCAAACTTTGGAACCCAAGCTCACAGTAAGGGGACTAAATAAACACCTTCACACCTACTGAGCACATCTGAAGTCCCGCAGGTAACCAAGTATACACAGCAATACATGACAAAAAAAAGGGTCATCTCAGTGACTACAACTTTGACCACATTCATGGACCACTTCCACTAATGTGGTTACCACTCAGGGGAATGACTCATCACCCCATCATATACCCCTAACGGTTACCACTCAAGAGGCCTGAAAGTGACGGCACCTGCTGCTGCTGCATCTGCTCTTGCATCTGCTTCATCTCCTCTGGGTCTGAAAGGGAGAGAGAGACAAGAAGAAAGAAATGAGGGTGGGAAGGATGACGATGATGATGAGAGATGAGCGTAAGGGGTGGTATGAATTAATATCAGCCCACTTATGGAGTCAGCAAGGCGGGGCAGGATGACCATGACGACGAGCGAGGAGCTAGAGGTGTGGTGAGAATGAGTAAATTGAGGATGGTAGGACGAGGATTTCACCTATGGAGTCAGCGAGACAGGTCAGGGTGACCGTGAGGATGAGAGATTACCTTAAATGCATGACCCATCAACACAATAGCCCACTCATATGTGCATCACCCACTCACTCACCTATTGAGTCAGCGAGGCGGGACAGGACGACCATAACGACGAGTGATGAGCTTAAGGTGCTGTACGAATGGGTATGCCAGAGGTCAGCATCCTAGAAACGGGTACGCCAGTGGCAGACAGGAACTCACCTATGGAGTCGGCGAGGCGAGGGAGGACGACCATGACAACAAGCATGAAGCAGATCATGATGCCCATGGGGCTCTTCACTATCGTCCATATGCTGAACGGCTGGCGCCTCTGCAAAGAAAAATTGCACGGCAGAAGAAAAGAAGGTGGCGAGGGGAGTGGAAAGGCAGGTGGTTGAGTGGAGCAAGTCCGTCCCGATGCCCACAGGCCTCCGCACTACTACTGTCCATATCCTGCTAGGAACACGCCTCTGCAAGGGATTAAGGCCTAGGCCAGGGTTTAGCAGCATGACAGGGGGGTAGGAGGCAGGGAAGCGAGTGGGTGGTGCGAGCCCATCAGGAGGACCATGGGGCTCCTCACTATCACTGTCCATATGCTGAATGGCTCTCGCCTCTGCATGTGGTGTGAAGGGCAGGCAGAATGGGGTTAGCTGCAGGAATGAACGCAGAGGGATTGGCAGATGGAGCGCAGTGATCATGATGCCCATGGGGGTTCTTCACCACCATCCATATGCTGAATGGCTCGCGCCTCTGGTGGGTGATAAGGGCAAGCAGGGGGGAAGCATGGTGGCCAGGGGGATAGGCACATGCAAGGGGATGAGTGGAGCACGAAGCAGATCATGATGCCCATGGGGCTCCTCACCATCGTCCATATGCTGAATGGCTCGCGCCTCCAGACGCATGGTGGCATGGCAGGGGGAAGCAGGTGGCAAGGGGAAAGGGAAAGGCAGAGGGGTGAGTGGAGCAAGGCTGTCATAATGCCCATGGGGCTCCGCACTATATCCTGCTAGGAACACGCCTCTGCAAGGGATTAAGGCCTAGGCCAGGGTTTAGCACCATGACAGGGGGGTAGGAGGCAGGGAAGCGAGTGGGTGGTGCGAGCCCATCAGGAGGACCATGGGGCTCCTCACTATCACTGTCCATATGCTGAATGGCTCTCGCCTCTGGACGCATGGTGGCAAGGCGGCAAGGGGGAGAGGAAGCGGCAAGGTGGTGAGTGGAGCACGAAGCAGATCATGATGCCCATGGGGCTCTTCACTATCGTCCATGTGCTGAACAACTGGCGCCTCTGCATGGCACGCATGCATAGAGGGGAGATCAACGCATGGAGGAAAGAAAAGCAGGGAGGTGAGTGGTGCAGGTCCTTGCTCCCATTATGCTGCCCAATGACTCCTCACCACTGGCCATACACAACAGCTCGCACCTCTGGAAGGGGGGAAATGATGACAGGCAGGGGGGAAAGTGAGTGGTGTGATGAGTCCCCTGGGGAGTGGTGTCATGATGTCATGATAATCATGATGATCATGATGGCCAGGGAGGTCTTTACCACTGCCCATATCCTGAATGGCGCTTCACCTCGAATCGAGCGAGGTACTCTTCTTCAGCTGCAAAGGGCGAGATGACGAGCGGGTTGATGGAGAGACTGGCAGGGCCGTGCTTGTTGACAGCTTACCACCCCATCGCCCTTGTCACCACTACTACTATGCCAGCTTACCACCCCATCGCCCTTGTCACCACTACTACTATGCCAGCGGAAACCCGCCCGAGAAGCAACAGCCTTCTGCCTCACCTCGAGAAGCAACAGCCTTCTGCCTCACCTCGAGAAGCAACAGCCTTCTGCCTCACCTCGAAATCCTCCTCAGCTGCAAAGGGCGAGATGATGAGCGGCTGCCATGCCATACCTGGGCCCTCCCATGCCTGCACTGCTCGTGCCCACCTTCCCTACCAACAATGCCTGCACCCTTTGAGCACCACACTGTCAAGCCCCACAGGCATCCGCCTCACCTCAAAATATTATTCAGCAGCCAAGGGCGAGATGATGAACGGGTCGATGGAGAGGCTTGCAGGACCCCCCCTCACAGCCCACCACCTGAGACTTGAGAGTTGGAGCAGGCTCAGGAACCAGTAAATACCATAGTCAAGTCAAGAACCATCGATCCTCCTCACCTCGGAATGCTCCTCAGCAGCGAAGGGCGAGATGATGAGGGGGTCGATGGAGAGTCTTGCGGCCATTGCTTGCAGCCCATTGCTTGCAGCCCATTGCTTGCAGCCCATTGCTTGCAGCCCATCGTGTGAGCCTTGGCTTGAATTGAATGGTGGGACAGGATGGGAGGCCCCCCCCTGATTAGAATTGTCAAGAACCATAACCCGCCCACCTCACCTCCAAGTACTCTTCAGCTGCAAAGGGCGAGATGATGAGCGGATCGATGGAGAGACTCGCAGGGCCCTGCTCTCTGATCACCACTGCTCGGAAGCTTCCTGCATGCTTTGCACTGACTTGCAGCACGACCTGCCGAAAAAAGGGCAGTGAGAGAGTAGAAAAGAAAGTGGCACAGATGGGGTATTTGAGAAACTAATTACAGACAGATATCGACCAGATCGAAGCGTTGACAGATGAATAACTGTGACATAACATAACTACCCGATTTCCTGGGGTGTCCCCTTGGCATGTGGCAATGCAAGAGCAGGTGCAGAACGTGGCTTTAACTTCCGTTCAGGCCGACCGACCGTGATTCAGGGTGGTCATTCGATTCGAGCCCCTCAAGGTAAGCTGTACACTTCACACTCCGTACTCGCCAACAACACCAGAATAAATACAACAGCAAACATGACATAGCGCCCAGATATCCTGTGATAGCAGAGCAGCTGATACGACACAGGGGGTGGGCTGGAGGAAAGGGGACATCCTTGGCTTGAGAGTGCGAGCACACTGCAAGGGAAGGGAGTAGTTGCTTCTTGGAAGGAGGACACGGAAGGTCGACAAGAGACCTGATCGCGTGCAAGAGGGAAGAGATGGTTTGGGCTTACCGGCAGGAAGAACGCCCCCGGAGCAGCTACTTGAAGCGTGTGCGAGCCGGGAGAGAGTGCGCTGGGGAGGGGTGGGTGTGTGGGGAAGGAGGGAGGGAGGGAGGGAGGGAGGGAGGGAGGGAGGGAGGGAGGGAGGGAGGGAGGGAGGAAGAGAAGGACGGACAGACGGTTGGTAACGGGTAAATACAGTGAGGGCAAGTGGTGCATGGGAAAGTGGTGCATGGGAAAGTGGTGCATGGGAAAGTGGTGCATGGGAAAGTGGTGCATGGGAAAGTGGTGCATGGGAAAGTGGTGCATGGGAAAGTGGTGCATGGGAAAGTGGTGCATGGGAAAGTGGTGCATGGGAAAGTGGTGCATGGGAAAGTGGTGCATGGGAAAGTGGTGCATGGGAAAGTGGTGCATGGGAAAGTGGTGCATGGGAAAGTGGTGCATGGGAAAGTGGTGCATGGGAAAGTGGTGCATGGGAAAGTGGTGCATGGGAAAGTGGTGCATGGGAAAGTGGTGCATGGGAGAAGTCCAGAGCATTACGATAATGCCCCTGCAGTGTGTGCATGCCCCTGCAGTGTGTGCATGCCCCTGCAGTGTGTGCATGCCCGAAGGCAGAGCGCTGGGGAGGGGCGTGTGGGAAGAGGATGGGGGAAGGAGGGAGGGAGAGGAGAGAAGCGTACATACAAAGGGTAATTCGTTGGTGACAACACTCGCATCATCTCGACTAGCCACTTGCAGTGTGTGCATGGCAGGAGGCAAGGCGGTGAGGAAAGGCATGTGGGGAGTGAGGAGAGGAGGAAGGGAGGGAGGGCGAGAAGACAGAGACAGAGGCTACCTGCCTCTCGTTTGACGGCAATGCAGGTGAGTTTACAGGCAGCGTGGTGGGGAACAGAGTGATGGGGGAGGGGTGGGGAACAGAGTGATGGGGGAGGGATGGGGAACAGAGTGATGGGGGAGGGGTGGGGAACAGAGTGATGGGGGAGGGGTGGGGAACAGAGTGATGGGGGAGGGGTGGGGAACAGAGTGATGGGGGAGGGGTGGGGAACAGAGTGATGGGGGAGGGGTGGGGAACAGAATGATGGGGGAGGGGTGGGGCGCAGAGTGAGGGGAGAGGGAGGGGTGGGGAACAGAGTGATGGAGGAGGTGTGGGGGGAAGAGTACGGGGGCTACAGGAGAGGGGAGGAAGCAAGTGAGTCGACTCAATTCTCGAAGGGATTGAGCCAGCAGGAAAGGCGACTCTACAAATGAGGGTCCACATTTGTCCCTCGAGGTTCAGATAAAAATACTCCTGAACCAGGATTGCCAGCGCGAAAGTGTTGGCTGGCGAGAATTCTGAATTTTGTGCAGCCACTTTTCTTCCGCAGTAACAATTCGCCAGGATTAAGGTTTTCGGGAGTCAAATGTGGACCCTCGTTTGAAGGGAATGCAGGGAGCGGCCACTTGCAGCGTTTGAGTGCACGTGGTGAGTGCCCTGCGTCCGGGCACAGCAGACAACAGCCACTTGCAGCGTGCGCGGCGGAAGGGCGGCAGCGGTGGGGAATGGTGTGTTGGGATGGGGGCGTATGCCGGCGGTGGTTTCTCAGTGAACTCCCAACGAGCGCCAGGAGAAATCTCACGCAGGCATCAGGGGATGCGATGTGTGAGTACGCAGAGGCAGGGCACAGTAGGGTGTGCTGTGTTGGGAGGGGGCCATATGGCGGTGGTACTTTCTCAGTGAACTCCAGACGAGCCGTTAGGGGGGAATTCTCAAGCAGGGATAATGGGATGTGATGGGCGAGTGCACAGAGGGAGGGCGGCGGTGGGAAACGTGTGTTGAGAGGGGGCGTATGGCGGTGGACTGGTGGTACTTTCTCAGTGAACTCCCAACGAGCGCCAGGGGAAATCTCACGCCTCAAAAGAGACCTCACGCAAGCATTATGGGATGTGTGCGTGGCTTCGAGGCACAACGCTTGGTGGCATCTCACAAGTCACCTCGCAGGCATCATGGGATGTGTGCGTGGCTTCGAGGCACGGCGCTCGGTGGAATGTGAGGAGGGAGGCGTTATGTAAGGGGGAGGGGAGGGGAGGTTGAAGGGGGAAGGGGGGGAGGAGGGGGTTAGAGAGGGACGGAATAGGAGGATGGCGAAGGGAGGAGGAAAAGGGGAAAATGAGCCGCGTTGTTTGGCCTCACACGGTCATGGGCGGGGAGCTCGAGGAGGGCGGAGGGGGCGGGGAGGGCGGAGGGGGCGGAGAGGGCGGAGGGGGCGGGGAGGGCGGGGAGGGCGAGGAGGGCGGGCATTGGGGAGGGAGAGCAGCGGGGAAGGCGGGAAATCGTATGGGGAACAGAAGAAATGACGCGAAGGACGCGAACCTTACATGGAGAAGTAGCCGTTGGATCGCACAAACGCCACTGAATCTCCACCGTTAATCAGGATCTTCACAGCCGTCGATTTGATCTTCAGAGCTGATGGGAGAGATGAAATAAAGACAGTTTGCTCGCGAAAAGAAGAAAGTAAGAAAGGGAGACGGTGGAGCTCTCAACGACTATTAGGTCCGTGGCTGCCCTAATGCTGTTCCGCATCATGCTAATAAAGTGGACACGAGGAAAGCGACGTGAAAAATAGTCCTACTGTCCAGTCGCGCGTAGCCGTCCACCACGGTGGAGCCCGCAATGGCTACTCGGACAGTGATTACCATGATACTGTATCGAATCATGGTAATGAAAGGGACACGAGGAAACAGCGGAGTGTCCTACCGTCGAGTCGCACGTAGCCGTCCACCACGGCACCGCCGTTCACGGCCACGGCGCTCGCCGCTTGCGCCGATCCCGCTGCCGCCGCGATCAGACAGGCGACCAGCAGCGACGCCGGTGTAGCTGACACCGCGGAACGGCACGCGATACGGAGAAGCGCCATTTCTTGGGAGAATGGAAGGGTCGAAAGACTAGGATGCTTGGGGACAGACGATCCCACCGTGAGCGCTGACTGAATTTATTCGTCGTAAGCGCAAAGATAATAATCAGTGATCTGACATACACTTCGTAAAATCAGGACCTAATTACATTAGATCCCGATTTTGCTGTTTGATCGGGGTGGAGGCAAATGATCAGTTTCGAATTCATGAAACCACGGTGGGTTCGAGATTCACGAAACGACGGAAATCACAAAATGAGTGCGCGGAACATTGGAGTTGAGTGACGAAATGCGCGAAAACAAGATAGCTGATCGAAATTCGGTGAGCAAGAACTTTGTCGCAATGATCACGACCACCGAACCGACAGTCCGTTCAGGTTAGGGTAACCGCATTGCGGTGCGGAAACTAGCAGAAAACGAACCCGCCTTAACTAGCACGAGCATATTCGGGTCGCACGTGTGTGCGAAGCAGGTAATCACCAGGCTAAAATCTGACAAATAATCGGAGCTCAATATTCGCGTAGCAGCCGGTCGTTTTGAATAGCTCTGCTGTTAGCGTAGTGTCGCCTAACCACTCAAGGATTCCTCCCACAACGTTCCAGCGTCAATTTCCTTCCTAGAGGCGCCTCGGCCCGCTTTCCCTTCGCTTCAAGTCACCCTCGCTCGCGTTGAGGCCGCTCTGCCACCCACACAGCGCAGAGAGCGACAAGGAAGAGGGGAGGAAAGAGTGAGGAAGAGGTAGGGATGAGGCTGGTTTGGGGGAGGGGGGAGAAAGAGGAGGCAGAGGAGCAGGAGGAGAAGGGAAGGAGGGAGAGTAAGCAAGAGCTGAGGTGGTGGGTTTTGCGCGAACCAGTGTCGTGTTTCTTCACTGCTTTCAAGAACCAGTGTTCTCGTTCTCGTTCTTGCCGTTTGCATCCCCACCATCCATCGCTCCCTCCCTCCCCCCGATCCGCCATCTATTGATCCGCTTGTCCATCCATCCGTCCATCCGTCCGTCCGTCCGTCCGTCCGTCCGTCATTCCGTCCGTCCATCCATCCATCCATCCATCCATCCATCCATCCATCCATCCATCCATCCATCCATCCATCCATCCATCCATCCATCCATCCATCCATCCATCCATCCATCCATCCATCCATCCATCCATCCATCCATCCATCCATCCATCCATCCATCCATCCATCCATCCATCCATCCATCCATCCATACTCCGCACTCATTTCCATCCCATCAGTGTGCAACCCCCAACCTGCGAGCCACCCTACACCGCCCTAAAGGCGCCTTGCACCGCTTTCAACCACTGCCTGCACCATCAGCACCATGGCGCCAGTCACATCCGCCAGCACCCAGCCCTGGGTGGAGAAGTAGTGAGTGCCAGCCGGGGGAGCTGGGTGTGTGCGGGATGGTTGGGGAGTGTGGGGATTGCAGCATTAAGGTTGGCGTGAGCTGCTGTAAGACTTTTTACCTGTGAGTGTAAGACTTCTTACCTGTGAGTGTAAGACTTTTTACCTGTGAGTGTAAGACGCCAATGGTGTCAGTCACACCCACCAACACCCAGCCCTGGGTGGAGAAATAGTGAGCGCTGATCGAGGGTTGGGGTGGTATGGTGGTTCGGGGGTTTGGGGGTTGGGGTTTATGAGGGTTGGTGGTGTAATGGCTTGGTGTGTGGGTTGCGGGTGTGTGGGTTGCGGGTGTGTGGGTTGCGGGTGTGTGGGTTGCGGGTGTGTGGGTTGCGGGTGTGTGGGTTGCGGGTGTGTGGGTTGCGGGTGTGTGGGTTGCAGCTTCTAGCCAAAGGCTTTCTGCACTTTGTGTGCACAGGATACACGGTGACTCTGTTCTTCTCTCGCGTTGTCTTTGCCTTATCTGCCCCTTTGCTTGACAAACTCCTGGGTGTGTTCTCTTCTCTTCATCATCCCGCAACCTCTGTTCTTTTGTTTAGCCAACTCGGATTGAACCTGCCTTGCATACTCTGTGACTGCCTCACTGCCTTGTTGCTCCTTGCAAGGGCATCAGTCTGCTCTGCTGACTGATCACACGTCAATGGAAGGGGACTCACTGCTCTGATCCTCTTCTTAATTTCCCCCCTCCAGCCGCCCAAAGCAGGTGTCTGACGTGGCACATCAGCAGGAGGTGGTGGCGACGCTCAAGAACACACTGGCCACTGGCAATGTGAGTGAGAAGGGGATGAGATGGGATGTGATGCGATGAGTTGAGATGAAAGGGGGGATAGAGTGGCGACGCTCAAGAACACACTGGCGACTGGCAATGTGAGATGGGAGGAGGGGGGTGAGTGAGTGAGTGAGTGATTGAGTGAGTGAGTGAGTGAGTGATTGAGTGAGTGAGTGAGTGATTGAGTGAGGGCAGAGGAAGGGGGCGCGTGTCTGGGGTGATGGCGGTACTCAACAGCTCGCTGGCCACTGGCGACTGGCGACAGGCAATGTGAGATTCAATGAGAGCAGGTGGAGGGGAGTGATGAGTGAGTGAGTGACTGAGGGAATGGGTGGGTGAGTGAGTGAGCGAGTGAGTGAGTGGGCGAGTGAGTGAGCGAGCGAGTGAGTGAGTGAGTGAGCGAGTGAGTGAGTGAGCGAGTGAGTGAGTGAGTGAGCACGTGAGTGAGTGAGACCGGGAGAAGAAGGATTATGGCTGGGGTGGGTGGTGGTGATGACGCGCAAGACACGCTGGTTGCTGCCAGTGTGAGATCGGAGGAGATGAGGGCAGCTGAAGGGGAATGATGAGAGTGAGTGAGTGAGTGAGTGAGTGAGTGAGTGAGGGCGGGGAGGGGAGGGAATTTTCGTGGGTGGTGACGACACTCAAGAACGCACTGGCTACAGATGGGAAGGAAATGGGATGAGATTAAATGAGGTGAGATGATATGAGCGGTCAGTAGACGAGATGAGATTAGGGATGCAGATGCTTGTGAACCCTCTTTCAGATCCATTCCCCTCCTCTCTGATCATGTCCGTAACTCTCCTCCAATCAACCATTCCCCTGTGCGTCTCCACACTTCTTACCCTCTCTCCCCCTCCCTGCAGCTGCCCCATCTGCTCTTCTACGGTCCGCCCGGAACAGGCAAGACGTCGACAGCGTTGGCCATAACCAAGGAACTCTTCGGGTGAGAAATGAGTTGTTCTGATTGAACAATGGGTGGTTCTGTGTAGTCCTGTGTGGTGCCGTGTGTGTTGAACATTGTTGGGCAGGCAAGACGTCCGCAGTGCTGCCAATCCAATCACCAAGAAGCACTTTGGGTCAGCCCGATTGGTTGGCGTGGCTTTGTGTGAACGATTGGGGCTTTGAGTGAGCACCAGTTGCATGCCGTGAGCACCAGTTGCGTGCCGTGAGCACCAGTTGCATGCCGTGAGCACCAGTTGCATGCCGTGAGCACCAGTTGCGTGCCGTGAGCACCAGTTGCGTGCCGTGAGCACCAGTTGCATGCCGTGAGCACCAGTTGCATGCTGTGAGCACCAGTTGCATGCCGTGAGCACCAGTTGCATGCCGTGAGCACCAGTTGCGTGCCGTGAGCACCAGTTGCGTGCCGTGAGCACCAGTTGCGTGCCGTGAGCACCAGTTGCATGCCGTGAGCACCAGTTGCATGCCGTGAGCACCAGTTGCGTGCCGTGAGCACCAGTTGCATGCCGTGATCACCAGTTGCATGCCGTGAGCACCAGTTGCGTGCCGTGAGCACCAGTTGCATGCCGTGAGCACCAGTTGCGTGCCGTGAGCACCAGTTGCGTGCCGTGAGCACCAGTTGCATGCCGTGAGCACCAGTTGCATGCTGTGAGCACCAGTTGCATGCCGTGAGCACCAGTTGCATGCCGTGAGCACCAGTTGCGTGCCGTGAGCACCAGTTGCGTGCCGTGAGCACCAGTTGCGTGCCGTGAGCACCAGTTGCATGCCGTGAGCACCAGTTGCATGCCGTGAGCACCAGTTGCGTGCCGTGAGCACCAGTTGCATGCCGTGAGCACCAGTTGCGTGCCGTGACCCTATGTGGTTTGCAGCTGTGTGTGTCAAATAAGCAAGACGTTTACAATTTACAATGCCGGCGATCACCAAGGAGAGCTGTTCGGGTGGGACAGGAGTGAGTGAATGGTTCTGTGTGATCACGACTTGGGTGCCATGGCTCTTCGTGGCTCGCTGCTGCTCAGCAGGCATGTGTGTCAAACGAGCAAGATGGCCTATCCAATGGTTGTCACTGAGGATCTCTTTGGGTGTAACAGTGCTGCGTTGACATGGTGGTAACCTCGCGCAATCCAGGCACTGTTGAACAACACCTGCGCACTTGCAAGCAGCAAGAGAGAGGAACCACACATTGACAGCACGCCTTGTCTGTCTGTCCCATCCCATGCTCTAACTCGCCTCTTCCTGGGTGCAGCCCTGAGCTCTATTCTTCGCAAGTGTTGGAGCTGAATGCGAGTGACGACAGGGGCATCAGTGCGGTGCGGCACGCACCAAGATGAGCCACACACACCACGACGTTTCTGTCTATCCGTTCCATACCGTCTGTGGCACCCCCTCCCCTCCCCAGCCCTGAGCTCTACCCCTCACCAGTGTTGGAGATGAACGCGAGTGACGAGGGGCGCAGGGGCATGAGTGTGGTGCGCCACTCACCAAGGGAAACCACCGCTTCCATGTCATACCCATACTGTGTGTCTGTCCCATCCCATCCACTTCTCCCCCCCAGCCCTGAGCTATACTCGTCCCGGGTGCTGGAGCTGAACGCGAGTGATGACAGGGGTATCAGTGTGGTGCGCACCAAGATCAAAGACTTTGCTGGCGTGGCCGTGGGGCACGGGGTCAGGTGAGCCATGCGGAGGACGAGTGCTAAGGTACAAGAGAATCAAGCGAGAGAATGAGTGGTGCGCACCAAGATCAAAGAATATGCTGGCGTGGCCGTGGCGCATGGGGTCGGGTGAGCGGGCAGGTGAAGTATGCTGAATGCGGAGTGGTAGGAAAGAAACAAGAGATGAAGTGTGGTGCGCACTGAGGTGGAGGATTTCGCATCTGTGACCTGTGGTTCACATCAGTGGCCTGTGGTTCACATCAGTGGCCTGTGGTTCACATCAGTGGCCTGTGGTTCACATCACATCACATCACATCACATCACATCACATCACATCACATGGTGAGGTGAGCCATATTGAATGAGGAGTGCTAGCTGTAGTACCAGGAAAAGACAAAAGGGGAATCAACTGTGGTGTGAACCAAGATCAACGACTTTTCTGGCGTGGCTGTGGGCCACGGGATGGGATCAGGTGAGCAGGCAGGTGATTCGGCAGGTGAAACGGCAGGTGAGGGGTGAGTGAAGTTATGACTCTCAAAATGCCCTTTGTTTCTATCAACACTGCCTTGGTGGCGGAGGATTCTTCTTGCTGAACGCACTTCCCTTCTCCTGCTTACCGCAACCTCCCCTCCCTCTCAACCCTTGCTCGCATTGCCTACCCCTGCCCACTGTTCAAGGTGATCATTCTTTTCTATAAGACTCCATGACTGAAGGTGCTTGTTCTGAAGGCCCTCACCCCTTTCCCCCTGTCCCGCTTTCCCCTTGCCCCTCTTTTCCTTCCCACCCCCCTCCCCTGCAGCTACGCCTGTCCACCGTACAAGGTGATCATTCTCGGGGAAGCTGACTCCATGACTGAAGGTGCTTGTTGCTTAGGTTGTGGCTCAAGGCACTCCACCTACCCCCCTCCCCTTGCCCTCCATTATTTCTTCACCCCTCTCCACCAGCGGCTACCCCTGTCCACCGTTCAAGGTGATCATACTAGATGAAGCCGACTCCATGACTGAAGATGCACAGGTGAGGAAGGGAGGGGGGGTAGGGAGGTGGGGTGGGGGAGCTGGGGAAGGGAGGAGGGGAAGGGAGGAGGGGAAGGGAGGAGGGGAAGGGAGGAGGGGAAGAGAGGAGGGGAAGGGAGGGGCTGAACAAAGGGGGACGGGGGAGGAGAAGAGGCAAAAGGTGATAATTATCGACGAGGCTGACTCCCGGACTGAAGATGCGCAGGTGAGGAAGTGAGGGGGGAGATAGGGCGGAATGGAGGGGGGAAAGAGAGTGAGGAAGAAGGACGGGAGAAGAGGAGCAGAAATCGGGTGGGGGTGGGAGTCAAAAGGCGAATGTGTTATTGGGAGAAGTTTTGAGACGTCTCAAAACTACACTTTTATCACGGGGTGGGAGTCAAAAGGCGAATGTGTTATTGGGAGAAGTTTTGAGACGTCTCAAAACTACACTTTTATCACGGGGTGGGAGTCAAAAGGCGAATGTGTTATTGGGAGAACATCGGGCGGGCCAGAGTGGTTAGGACGGGGATTAATACGTAAGGTGAGGTGGAATGGTGCAGAATAGATGGCATGGGGTGGGATGCGGCAGAAGGGATGGCATGGGGTAGGATGGGGCAGAAGGGATGGCATGGGGTAGGATGGGGCAGAAGGGATGGCATGGGGTAGGATGGGCCGGAAGGGATGGCATGGGGTAGGATGGGCCGTAAGAGATGGCATGGGGTAGGATGGGGCGGAAGGGATGGCATGGGGTAGGATGGGGCGGAAGGGATGGCATGGGGTAGGATGGGCCGGAAGGGATGGCATGGGGTAGGATGGGGCGGAAGGGATGGCATGGGGTAGGATGGGGCGGAAGGGATGGCATGGGGTAGGATGGGGCGGAAGGGATGGCATGGGGCAGGATTGGGCGGAAGGGATGGCATGGGGTAGGATGGGCCGGAAGGGATGGCATGGGGTAGGATGGGGCGGAAGGGATGGCATGGGGTAGGATGGGGCGGAAGGGATGGCATGGGGTAGGATGGGGCGGAAGGGATGGCATGGGGTAGGATGGGGCGGAAGGGATGGCATGGGGCAGGATTGGGCGGAAGGGATGGCATGGGGTAGGATGGGGCAGAAGGGATGGCATGGGGTAGGATGGGCCGGAAGGGATGGCATGGGGTAGGATGGGGCGGAAGGGATGGCATGGGGTAGGATGGGGCGGAAGGGATGGCATGGGGTAGGATGGGGCGGAAGGGATGGCATGGGGTAGGATGGGGCGGAAGGGATGGCATGGGGCAGGATTGGGCGGAAGGGATGGCATGGGGTAGGATGGGCCGGAAGGGATGGCATGGGGTAGGATGGGGCGGAAGGGATGGCATGGGGTAGGATGGGGCGGAAGGGATGGCATGGGGTAGGATGGGGCAGAGTGGATTGTGACACTCTCATGGCATGGGCAGAGTGGGTGCACAGCACACGTGCTTGCTTGACACTCTCCATCCATCTAAAGACGATTTTGAGAAATCAGCAGCTGTGAAGTCAGTCTCTTCTACCCTCCTGTCCCCTCCCCTCCCGTCCTCTCCATCCCGTTCTTCTCCTTTCCTATTCCCCCTCCTCTCCTCTTCTCTCTGCTCGTCGTCTCCTCCAATCAGAATGCTCTACGCCGAACCATGGAGCTCCACTCGCGCGTCACAAGATTTGTCTTCATCTGCAACTACATCAGCAGGTAACTGCTCTGTACCTTGGTGGGCAAGAATTGTCCACTATTACCATCTAAATGTAGGTTAATTTAAGAATTCTTAGAATCAGCCTGCAACATCAAGTCACTCTTTTGAGTCGACTCAAAAGCAAATTCTTAGAATCAGCCTGCAACATCAAGTCACTCCCATTCTTGAAGGTGCTTAGGGGAGAGAGAAAAAATGTGGAATGACTGCTATGCTTCCACACTTGAAGTTAAAAGAAGCTGTTTCCGGCTTTGCTTCATGCGGTGTTGGTCTTTCACTACCTGAGCTGATACTATCTCCCTCCCTTACTATCTCTCAGCCAACGCCAATCAGAATCATTGAGCCATTCACCTCCTGCCGTGCCATTCTTCTTTCCGATTCCTCCGTGCTGTGCGTTGTGATGTGTGCTGCCTTTTCGCTCGCCTAAACTTGTATCACCTCCCCTTTCCCCTGAACCCATGTCATTCCCACTGCCCCCAACCAACGCACATCAGGATCATCGAGCCGCTGGCCTCTCAGTGCAGCGAGTTCTGATTTCTATGTGTTCTCTGTAGAGCTATGACGCTTTTCCACTGCAATAAATCCTTCTCTCCACCTGCCACTGCCCCCAACCAACGCACATCAGGATCATCGAGCCGCTGGCCTCCCGATGCGCCAAGTTCCGATTCCGACCGCTGGTGGGGCAGGTGATGACTGACCGGCTCAGACACATTGCGGACTGCGAGCACCTCACTCTCTCAGAGGAGGTAAGCTGCACTCTGTGATGGGATGTAAGCCGCTGGTGGGGCAGGCGATGACGAACCGGCTGCGCCACATTGCGGATTGTGAGCACCTGTTGCTGAGTGATGAGGTGCGTTACACTTGCTGTTCACAGTGGTGACCTGGTGCTGGTGGGGCAGGTGATGACTGACCAGCTGAGACACATTACGGACTGTGAACACCTCAAGCTCTCAGAGGAGGTAAGCTGCACTCTGCATTCATGCATTGCTGGTACCTTGCACTTGAGGTTGGCTGCTGCTGGGCCAGGTGATGTCTGATCTGACCAGCTGAGACAGCCAACTGCGAACACCTAACGCTGTTAGAGGAGGTGAGGCGAGGTGGGCTGCGGTGGGTTGAGGTGGAGTGAGGTGCTGGTGGAGCAGGTGATGATTGGCAGGCTCCGCCACATCGCCAACTGTGAACACGTAACGCTTTCGGATTCGAGGGTGGGTTGGTGGTGGGGCGAGAGGGTGACTCAGACACACAGTGGAGTGCAAACATTGTGCTCCCATAAGATCTGCACTCTCAGATGAGGTGTGTGCCTGCCAGGTGGGCTTCTGGGCTTCTGGGCTTCTGGGCTGCTGAGCTGCTGGGCTGGCACAAGAGGTAACTGATAAACCAGACAAAAGGTGAAATGGAATCATCACAGTCCCATTCAAGCTGGGCTCTCAATACAGCTGACTGCCTCCCGGGTGAGCGTTGTTGGGGAGAAGATATGACTGACAGGCTCAGAGTAGGGAGGAGAAAAATATTAAAACATGTAGAGGGGGGCATGAAGATAATGCCAGGGTAGGGTGGAAGGTATAAGTGGTAAAAATGTAAATCCTCGAAAATTGCCTCAGCAGAGGATTGAACTCTGGACCTTTCGCTTACGAAGCGAACGCACTACCACTGTGCTACTGGGGCTGTGAAATCTCATATACATAACATTACCACTATTGTCTTTTTCCCCTGTTACATTCCATCTGTCGCGTATGCTGCAGGCCTTTGAGGCGCTGAGCCAAGTGTCGGAGGGCGATCTCAGGCGAGCCATCACAACACTGCAGGTAGGTATGGGTGTGCAGAAGGGAGGGATGATATGAGATGTTCGCATGATTCCGTAAGAATGTTGGTGATTTGACAAGTCTCCAGACTTCACATCATGATCTGGGAATTGGGTGTCAGAGGGCGATCGCAGGCGAGCCATCACGACCCTGCAGGTGGGTGCAGGGTAGAGGAGTGGAGTGGGGTGGAGTGGAGGAGGGATGGTGTGCTCGTGATGGTGTCACGGCTCACGACTTGACATGAGCTGGGAATTGGGTGTGAGAGGGTGAATTCAGGCATCGCTAATATCACTCTGACCGTCCCTTCCCTGTCTCGTGTCTCTTCTGCCCTGCCACCTCTCCCATCCTCCCACCTTGCCTTGCTTGATCGCAGAGTGCAGCCAGGCTGTACGGCTCGTCCATCTCAGCGCAACACATCATTGAAGTGTCAGGGGTATGTAATCATGCAGTTCTTTTTGCTGTTGCTATGCATACGCGCCGAAATACTTCCCTACCACGGTGTTGCTGGATGTGTGAAGCAAACGGAAGTGGGTTGAAGAAAAGAAAGGAAACAATAGAATCGGGATCCAACCAGAATTGACAGATTCACACCCACACAGCAGATTGGCAAGTTTATATATAATATAGCACATGTTTGTTAACAGCCTCATTCCACCAGTTCATACCTGCCTCAGATGTCACCTTCCCTTGATAAATCTGCCTTCTTTGGCGTGTACTCTCCTCCACACTTTCTTCCTTCTTCCCCTCCTCCCTTCTTTCCTCCCATCCTCCCCATCTGTCACCTTCCTTTTCACACTGCATTCTTTCTGCTGGTCTCCTCTCTCTCGCCATGCAGATCATGACTGCATCAGTTGTCACCCATTGCAAGTAATTTCCCTTGTCCCGGTTTTTTTCCCATCCACCCACCATTTCTCCCTCGCCCTTTGTGTGCAGGTGGTGCCTGCCTCAGTTGTCACCTCCCTCCTTCCCTTCCTTTTGTCCCGAGCACCAAACCTGCCTGCCCTCCTTCGCTCCCTTTGTGTGCAGGTGGTGCCTGCCTCAGTTGTCACCTCCATCCTCGAGGCCTGCAGGGGAGGTGCTTTTGAAGCTGTTCAGTCTGCTGTCACTGCTGCTGTTGCTGACGGTTACCCTGCTGCGCAAATACTCTCCCAGGTACCACAATTCACAGGTTACAAGATTACCAGAATTCTCATCTCCGCGTGTTACAAAGTTAACACCACTTTTTTGCTGCCAGTCTGCCATCACTGCTGCTGTTGCTGACGGTTGCCCGCTGCGCAAATACTTTCCCAGGTACCACATTTTCAAAGGTTACAAGGGTACCAGAATTTACATCTTCATGTGTTACAAAGTTACCGCCACTTTCTTTGCTGCCAGTCTGCCGTCACAGCTGCTGTTGCTGACGGTTACCCGGCTGCACAAATACTCTCCCAGGTAGTACAATGTAGAATTACCATTGGTGTGTTCGCCGCTGTCGAGTCTGCTCCACCAAAGAATATGCCTCTTTTGAGTCTGCTCCACCAAAGAATATGCCTCTTTTGAGTCTGCTCCACCAAAGAATATGCCTCTTTTGAGTCTGCTCCACCAAAGAATATGCCTCTTTTGAGTCTGCTCCACCAAAGAATATGCCTCTTTTGAGTCTGCTCCACCAAAGAATATGCCTCTTTTGAGTCTGCTCCACCAAAGAATATGCCTCTTTTGAGTCTGCTCCACCAAAGAATATGCCTCTTTTGAGTCTGCTCCACCAAAGAATATGCCTCTTTTGAGTCTGCTGTCACCGCTGCTATTGCCGACGGTAACCCGGCTGCACAAATACTCTCTCAGGTGTTACGAATTTACATCCTAGTGTAGCCTACAACCATGGTTGCCTCAATTCATGCGACTGTCACCGCTGCTGCTGCTGATGGTTACCCTGCTGCGCAAATTCTTTCCCAGGTAATACAGCTTCTCGAGTTACTACCTATTAAGGTTACACAGTAATGTTGCCACCACCCTTTTCACCACAAGGTGATGTTACCACCACCACTGTCTCTGCGGTCTTCCAGTCTGTCGTCACTGCTGCTATTGCTAGCGTGACGTTAACCCAGGCATGAGGAGGAGCACGGCACTCCCGCCAACAGCAGCACCAGCCACACGAAAAACAGCAGAAGGCGAGCCATGTGCTGCTGAAGGCGAGCCATGTGCTGCTGTTCGCGTTGCCGGTGCTGCTGTTGGCTGGAGTGCCATGCTCCTCCTCATGCCTGGTGCACAAATCCTCTCCCAGGTACTACAAAGACGCTCACCTGCTCTGCAAAGGCAGCTCTCACTTCACAATTCCTCTTGTTTTCACTAGCCATGTCCCCCTCCCGCCTCTCTTTTTCTCTCTCTCTTCCATGCAGCTGCCTCTGCATGCAGCGTCACCACCCACTGATTTATTAGGCGCCTCAAGACTTGTCTCTCTCTTCCATCCAGCTACCTCTGAATGCGGAATTCAAGGCTGTCCGTTTCTTTTTCTCATCTCAGTGTCGTACCCCCCACCTTCCACTTTCCCTTGGCATACCCATTGGTCTTACTTCCCTTCCAGCTATTTGATGCAGCCACAGCAGCAGACGACCTCACAGACGAGCAGAAGGCGCGCATCTGTGCCACCATTGCCGCCGCTGACAAGGTAACTGCGTTGCTTGGGAACTTGTACACCCTACAAGACACCACACCACACCTCTGGGATCCTGGTGTCTTGTACGCCTTACAAGGTACAGCATTCGTAGGGTGTTGACCACCTTATAAGGTACTGCCCTCCTGGGATCTTGTACGCCATACAAGGTTTCATCCTTCCGTACTCCGACTTTTGACTTTTGTGTCTGTGGAATGTTGTGGCAAGCTCCCCTTTCCTTGTGCCACTGTTTGTCCTGGTTCAGAATTTAGTTGATGGGCCGAACGAGCGGCTTCAGCTGCTGGATGTTACAAGCAACACCATGAGAGCCGTGCACAACATGCCACTCTCAGCTTCCTTTGCCAAAGCAAACCCACGTCTACCCCTGTTTCCTCCCCATTCCCATGCTCCTTGTGCCACCGTTTGTCCTGGTTCAGAATCTAGTGGATGGGGCGGACGAGTGGCTTCAGCTGCTGGATGTTGCCAGCAGCACCATGCGGGCCGTGCACAACCTGCCACTCTCAGCTTCCTTTGCCACTTGATGGTAGATTTTAGGCTGAATGATGGGAAGGGAAGTGGGTTGTGCACAGCATGCCACTCTCAGCTTCCTTTGCCAAAGCAAACCCACGTCTACCCCTGTTTCCTCCCCATTCCCATGCTCCTTGTGCCACCGTTTGTCCTGGTTCAGAATCTAGTGGATGGGGCGGACGAGTGGCTTCAGCTGCTGGATGTTGCCAGCAGCACCATGCGGGCCGTGCACAACCTGCCACTCTCAGCTTCCTTTGCCACTTGATGGTAGATTTTAGGCTGAATGATGGGAAGGGAAGTGGGTTGTGCACAGCATGCCACTCTCAGCTTCCTTTGCAATTTGACGGGTGATCGATGGCTTGTTGATGGCTGATTGTAGATTGAGTATGGCATTACAGATCTATAGCAGCACCATGAGGGCCCTGCACAACATGCCACTCTCAGCTTTATTTGGCACTTGACGGCTTGGATAAGCCTCGTTTCTTTTCAAAAGTGTGGATGAAACTGGCTCTGCAGCAGCACTATGCGGGCTGTGCACAACATGCCAGTCTCGGCTTCCTTTGCCACTTGACGGGCAACTGATGAGGGTAATTATGTAGAGTGGCAGCACCATGCCACTCTTGCCTTCCATTCCCACTTGACGGGTGATTTATGGGGGTGTGCTGTGTAGGCATGCAGATGAGTGGCAATGAGACGGCTTGAAACATTGCAAGCAGCACCATGCGGGCCGAGCACAGCATGCCACTCTTAGCTTCCTTTGCCCCCTGACAGGCGATAGATGGCCATGTGAGCATGCTCGTGTTGCTGAACATGTGAATGGGAGAGGCCAGCTTGATGGATCTGTAGATTCTGTCTGTATGTTGCCTGCGGCAGCACCACCAGTATGGCAGTTCACAAGTCGCCAGCTCATAGCACAGTTGGCAACATCTGGAGCATGGCAGTCTATATACAGTAACCGGAGAACCTGATTTTAGAACATGAGGTTGAGAAGAAATGAGTGAAACGACAAGATTCGGTGTAAACGTCAGTAGGGTACTAGGGTTGCGTAGTGGTTACATTCCCAGTATAGAAAGCCTTATCATTATGTATTTATAGGGAGCTATACACCACCGCCAATGCCTGGATATGAGGCAGTGTCAAATTGAAGAAAGGGGTGTCTTTAAGTTTTTCTTATAAATGGGTTTGCTTGTTACAATGGACACATGCGCGTACACGAGTTAGGATGTATAAGTTCTATAATAATCTAATGTACTACAGCGAAAATGAAATAGGGCATACGTTTCTCTATGCTAAACGTGAAGTTATGCTTATATATTTTTTAGATATGTTAGGCTGCAGTGAGTTATGTATTAGAGGGCACATAATATCTCTCGGCTCGAAAGTCACCTAGTCAATCCGCAGGCAGCAGCGCGTTTCCCGCTAGTACTCAGCCCGCGAACTGCAGGTAGCAGCGCGGAGTTAGGCAGCGAAATCCACGCCGTAGCAGCGAAATTCGCGCCGCAGCAGCGAAATCCGCGCCGTAGCAGCGAGATCCGCGCCCAAGCAGCATTCGCGCGTGGGAGCGCCCACACAGCGAGGCCCGCGCCTAGGCAGCGACATCCGCGATCTTGAGATGGTATCATCGTGTAGGCACGTTCCTAGGGTGTAGACTGGCTCCTTTTACCTCCTAGCCAGCCAGCCAGTCGATTACCTCGTCGCCAGCCAGCTCCCTCTCCAGCCAGCTCCCTCTCCAGCCAGCTCCCTCTCAAGCCAGCCAATTGCCCACAGGCAGCGCGTCCCGCCACTGCATAGCGCGAGCGCCAGCCTGCACCCACGCGCGCGTAGTCTGCATCCGCGCGCAACCAGCGCACAGCCCGCATGCCGCCGGCGCGCGATGCGCCAGCAGTAGCCGCGCGCGCGAAGCCTCCGCGCGCACGCAGTAGCGCGCGCGCGACGCGCAGCCAGTAGCGCGCGCGCGACGCGCAGCCAGTAGCCGCGCGCGCAGCGCACGCACTGCAGCGCACGGCAGCAGCCGCACTGACGCACGCCAGTCGCCAGTGCGCGCCGGCTACCACCTCCCGCCCGCCACGCGCAGCACTGATCCCGCCGCGCGCCGCTCACAGCATCGCTAGCAGCCGCCGGTACAGCTAGCTGGCAGTACGAATCAGCCGCCAACACGAATCAGCCGCCAGCAGCCTCCCACTCGTACGCACCTCGCGTGCTAGCAGCGCACGTTCCACTCGCCCCCACCTGCCGCGCGCCCTGCCGACCACAGCTGGACGACTCCGATGCCATCATGGCTCTCCGTCGTCGAATTGCGCTCTCATGTCTCTGTCTCCTCGTCTGCGCCCTCCTCGTCTGCCGAGTATGGGTCTTCTCCAGCTCCACCGTCTCTTCTACTACCTCCACACTTGCTTCTAGTAGTTCTCGGGCCGATGTCAAATCACCCAGCGCCAGCGCGCCACAGGCTCTGCTAGTAGGCATTGCTCTAGACGCTGCGGGTTCAGCACCTAGCAGCAGCAGCAGCGCGTCTACTTCCGCGTCCGCCTCGCTTTTGAGGCGTCTCAAAAGCAGCGCGTCTTCCCCGTCCGCGTCCGCGTCCGCGTCGCTTTCCTCCTTCGACCCCAACAACATCTGCAGTCAGGCCGGCGCTTACGCTGACACGAGTGCCGACGAGGGATCGGATCCTGCCGACTTAGGGTTCTCGCACGTCAACGTCAGCGGCGACGGGTGGGATGGCCCCGCCACGCCATTCCAGCCCGCGTGCTTCCAAATCCAAGGTGCGGCCAGGCCACGGCCACAGTATCCATCCACTTTTTTCCTCGTGATAAAAAAGAGAGCGTTTGAGGAACCTTAAACCCAAAATCCTCGAAAGCTTTCTTTTATCACGTCTCATCGCATGCGTGCTTCCGAATCCAAGGTGCGGCCAGGCCACAGCATGCGAGGTGACTCTTGAGTCGACTCAAAAGCCAAGGTGCGGCTACAGCACCCACTGTGTTCCATCCTGTGCGTCCATGTCCATCCACTGTGTACCACCTTCCGCTGCCTGCGCTCTCTCATTGCTGTGTGTCACACTCTAGGTGTTCCCTGTTGGCGATGCCTGCCGTTGGTGATCTGACTGGCTGCGCCACATACCATGTTGCCCACCGGCTTGTGCATCCCATCCCATCCCATCCCATCCCATCCCATCCCATCCCATCCCATCCCATCCCGTGCAGCTTTTGATGTGCAAGGCGGGCCATTCGACCGTGGTTGCAGGTACGACTCACCTCACCTCCTCGTTCATCCAACTTTCCTTCTCTATTCATGCTCTGGTCCATGCGCGCAAGGCCTTGCCGCTAGTGGCCTGGCAGCTGTGGGGCGCACCTTTCCTTCTCTATTCATGCTGTGGGGCGCACCTTTCCTTCTCTATTCATGCTGTGGGGCGCACCTTTCCTTCTCTATTCATGCTGTGGGCGGGTCACAGATGGTCTGTCTTGGGGATATGATGTCCGCCTTATGCCATGCCAACCCACCTTCTCCTGCATGTCTCGCCTTGCGTGCGCGGGGTGTGCATGCGCACGGAGTGCGCGCGCGGGGCGTGCGTGTGCTGTGCGTGCGTGCGTGGGGCGTGCGTGTGGGGGGTGGGCAGGCAGCGCGCCTTCTTAGTGGCAAGCATGCGCCGCGTTGCCACCAACGACGGGGACGAGGCAGCAGAGGCTCAAGTGCAGGCGCCGCGAGTGCAGTACCTGCCCGAGTCCAGCTCGCACCAGGTGGGCGCTCCCCCCCCCACGTCCTTGCCAATCACACCCACGTGCTCCTTCTGCAAACTGCGTGTCCAACCACGAATCATGCCACTGCAAACTGCGTGTATGGTGTGTGCTGTGCCATGCGTGCAATGCCATGCCAGCAATGGTACACCCTTTCTTTCACGGCGCACGCTCACCCGTTTGCTCCTGCGCCCTGCCACTCACTCTTGATCACACTGCCCTGGGCGCAGTGCCACTGCCCTGGGCGCAGTGCCACTGCCCTGGGCGCAGTGCCACTGCCCTGGGCGCAGTGCCACTGCCCTGGGCGCAGTTCCACTGCCCTGGGCGCAGTGCCACTGCCCTGGGCGCAGTGCCACTGCCCTGGGCGCAGTGCCACTGCCCTGGGCGCAGTGCCACTGCCCTGGGCGCAGTGCCACTGCCCTGGGCGCAGTGCCACTGCCCTGGGCGCAGTGCCATTGCCCTGGGCGCAGTGCCATTGCCCTGGGCGCAGTGCCACTGCCCTGGGCGCAGTGCCACTGCCCTGGGCGCAGTGCCACTGCCCTGGGCGCAGTGCCATTGCCCTGGGCGCAGTGCCACTGCCCTGGGCGCAGTGCCACTGCCCTGGGCGCAGTGCCACTGCCCTGGGCGCAGTGCCACTGCCCTGGGCGCAGTGCCACTGCCCTGGGCGCAGTGCCACTGCCCTGGGCGCAGTGCCACTGCCCTGGGCGCAGTGCCACTGCCCTGGGCGCAGTGCCACTGCCCTGGGCGCAGTGCCACTGCCCTGGGCGCAGTGCCACTGCCCTGGGCGCAGTGCCACTGCCCTGGGCGCAGTGCCACTGCCCTGGGCGCAGTGCCACTGCCCTGCCACTGCCACTGGCTCTTGATCACCCATCACATGCACCCATCAACCTCTGTGTGTGCGCGCGTGTGCTGCCAAGAGCAGGTGTGCTACACGGTGCAGGGCGGTGATGGGGTGTACGAGGTGGTGGTGGCGCTGCCATGGACCAACGCCTTCTTGCTGCGCGAGAGCGTCAACCCCAAGCTCGCCTCCGGCTTCTTCAGGTGCCGTGCCACTGCCTGCCGTGCCACTGCCTGCCGTGCCACTGCCTGCCGTGCCACTGCCTGCCGTGCCACTGCCTGCCGTGCCACTGCCTGCCGTGCCACTGCCTGCCGTGCCACTGCCTGCCGTGCCACTGCCTGCCGTGCCACTGCCTGCCGTGCCCCCCCCTCTCCTCCCCATGCCCTGCTGTGCCTTGAATGAACCACCTGTGCTGCGAGCGCCCGCCCTCTTGCAACTGTGCTGGCCACTGCTGCACGTCGCTCGCAGGTCCAAGGTCGTGGCTCAACGCAACATCACCGTCGCTGCTTCCAGCGCCCTCCATGCCTTGGAGAATGGCACGGGTTCGACTCAAATGAGGTGCGCTCCGCTGCCCGTGGCGGGTGTTTTGTTCGTGTCCCTGCATTCCCGCCCTTCAACCTTTTGCCACGTGATAAAAGCTGGGTTTTGAGATGTCTCAAATGAGGTGCACATGCCATGCGCTGCTTGTGCCGGATGCCCTCTTCGTGTCCCTGCATGCACTCCCGCCCTTCAACCTTTCTCTCTCCTCTCCACCCACCCCACTTCCCTTCGTCCCTCCCACCACTGAGTGTGCCTTCTTTCGTTATCCGCACACTCGGTGGCGGGTACTCATTTCCCAACCCACACGGGCCCGTGCCCGCCCCTCCCTGCTGTGTGTGTGCGGCGTGGCAGCGAGCAGAGCCTGCCGCGGTGCACATTCACTCTGCTGCGCGACTCACGACATGATGGCTTCTGGCGAGGAGACACGTGGCACCCCACGGCCTGCCGCCTGCCTGCCCCCATCACGCCCGCACGCATTGGGCGCTGCCTGCACGGCAAGAGCGTCCTCATTCTAGGTATGGCAACCTGCACATGTTGTATCACGTGCGGAAGTGCAGAAACATCTGCACGGCAAGAGCGTCCTCATTCTAGGTCTCGCCTCCTGCCCTGCCCACCCCCACCCCACCTACTGAGTTTTGAAATGTCCCAAAAACTCCATTCTAGGTCTCACATCGTGCCCACCCACACCCCACCTACTGTGTCCTGCTCCATGTCGTGTCGTGTTATGCACAGAGCCTGTACCATGCATGCAGCTGGCTTCGGGAAAGCCATAGGTATCTACTCGTGTCCTGCACCCATGCACCCGTGCATGCACAATGCCTGTACCATGCATGCACGTTCGTGCAGGCATGAGTCCACATCTGTGCTGTGCTGTGCAGTGCGAGTGTGGGTGTGGGTGTGGGTGTGGGTGTGGGTGTGGGTGTGGGTGTGGATGCACCCGTGACGTGCCAGTGCCCTTCAAGTCACCACGGCACCGCGCTGTGTGCCACCGCCGCCTGCCTGCCTGCTGCTCCACGTGTGCAGGGGACTGGGAGATGATTTTTGAGACTCAAAAGTCACCTTGCTGCACGTGTGCTGTGCAATGCAGGGGACTCGGAGATGCGGTACCTGTTTGGCCACCTGCAGCTCTTCCTGCACTACCGCACGCGCTGCCGCTACCTCAAGCGCTACCGCCGCCAGCCCAGGGTGAGGTGGTTTAGGGTTTACTTTTTAGGGTTTGAGTTGAGGTGGTGCGGGCAGGTCAGGGTGATTTGGTGCGGGTAGCTCAGGGTGAGGTGGTGCGGGCAGGTCAGGATGAGGAAACCTTTTGATGTGCTCATATCCCCCAACGGTGTTCAGATCTCATCCCACGCCTCTCCCGCTCTCAACTTTCCATGCATCCCATCCACTTTCCCTTCACGTTATGGGTGCTCTTGACCCACCCTGTTAACCTGCTGGTGACGTGACGAGTGGCAGGAGGTGCACCGAGTGTGGGTTAGGAACGTGGTGGTAAGGAGGGTGAGGGAAACGGTTTGATGTGCTCATATCCGTTAACGGTGCTCAGACCTCGTCCCACGCCTCTCCCGCTCTCACCGAGTGGCAGGAGGTGCACCGAGTGCGGGTGAGGAACGTGGTGTTCAAGGAGGGCCCGCCAGTGGACCCCAGCTCGGGCATGGCCTTGGCTGTCAACTACAGCACCTTCTGTGGCCGCACCACCTACTGGGGTCACTTCTGGAGCGGCTTCGCCCTGCAGCAGTGAGTGCACATGCAGCAGTGAGTGCACATGCAGCAGTGAGTGCACATGCAGCAGTGAGTGCACATGCAGCAGTGAGTGCACATGCAGCAGTGAGTGCACATGCAGCAGTGAGTGCACATGCAGCAGTGAGTGCACATGCAGCAGTGAGTGCACATGCAGCAGTGAGTGCACATGCAGCAGTGAGTGCACATGCAGCAGTGAGTGCACATGCAGCAGTGAGTGCACATGCAGCAGTGAGTGCACATGCAGCAGTGAGTGCCTCTGCAGGAGTTGCTGCGCACATGCTCCTCGCCGTCTCCTCCCTACCACTGGCACGTTGGTTGGGACTAATACCCGTACTTGTATTTACTTGACGCTGTATTCACCTTTGCGAGCTGACTTTTGAGTCGACTCAAAAGTCAGCTCTCTGCCAATGGGACGTCGGTCGGTCAGGACTAGGGGACTAATACTCATGCCTTGTATGTATCTACCTTGGCTTGCCTCTGTCGGTGGTCTCCATCCCTTGCTTGCGAGTGAGCGCTCTGTTGTCAATTCCGCCTCACTCTGCATCTCATAAGAGTGCTAGCCTCTCACATATTGCTTTGCTGCTATTACATACTGCTACTTGCCGCTGCCACTGCATGCCTCTCCCCTCCCCTGCTGCCCTGCCCGGCAACAGGGTGATCGTGCATCCAGTGCGGCGCCGCGGCCGTGCGTTCACCTTCAACCTCACCTATGCCACGCACCTGGATTCAGATGCCCCTGTCTTTGACGACTGGCGCTCTGCCCCTAATCTCACAGGCGGCCCCATTGTCACTCACTTTGCGCCATTCGACGTAGTGGCAGTGTCCTTTGGCCTGCATGACATAACACGCAAGAGTAATGCATCGGAGATGGCAGAGGCGTTCAGTGAGTCCCTCTTCTATCTTGCCCTTCTGCACCCTCTCTATCTTCGTTCATGCTTTGATGCTATAATTACACTTCAAGCATGGCCATATAAATAGCATTTATGACCAACATGTCCCTCCCTACCAATGCTGCAGAGCTGGTGTTAAAAGAGCTGTTTTGAGGTGCCTAAGAAAAGGCTCTTATGTGCAACATGTCCCTACTATGCTGCAGGGTCAGTGTTTCTGCCTTCACTCCAGTCAGTTGTTCGCAATCCGGACGGGGTCACTTTCTTTGGCATCTGGGCAGCGCAAGAGAAGAAGAAGCCGCAGAGATATCTCCATAAGAGCAACAACGTCAGAGGGTTCACGTTCGATGACCATGTAGCCAGGTGAGAGACCTCATGTCAGAGAGACTTTACAACTAACTCGTCTGAGGTGTTTATGTTCAGGCCTGAATGTTTTTTTTTTCCCTGCTGTGTTGCTGCCATTCTTTTTTCAGGGTGTCTGATGAGACAAAGTTTGGGCATTTCGTCGACCTTCAAGCGTTAACCCTTCCTAGAGGTGACAGGTGCACTGACAGCACCCATTACTCTTGGCCAGTCACGCTAGCCATGCTAGATGTCTGGCTTTCTGCTCTTTGCGAGGATGTTGTTGACACCGACACACCAGAATCAGAACCTCCTTGTTGAAGTACCGTTGTTGCAAGGGCAGGGAGGGAAGCCCTTCCTGAGTTGCTGCAAGGGCAGGGAGGGCAGGGCTTTTATGGTACATAAAAAATCTTATCGTATTTGGCTGGATTCTAGACCTCCCCAACGGCCTCAGCTCGGGGCTACGATAGGGGTAGGAAGGGGGGTGTCTCTGATGATCACACAGCGAAGTTATTTGCCTGGCAATCCGTTCCAAGTACCGTATCCCCCCGGATATACCCCCATGGGGGGCAATAATAAAACAGGTTTTTTCATGGGGGTGGGCTTATAATCGAGTAAATTTATAAGCGCCGGCGTTTATAAAATGACATACATATTTTTTTATATCTTTTAACACCAAACTGTAGGTCTCGTGCTTGCCTTTTCAATCGAGTCGAAGTTACATGGGATCGTCTGTGAAATTCTCGCGCGCGCTGGGAGATACACCCAATCTGACTCACATCCAGCTCCTGACAGGTCCTGCTGACTGGACCCGCATCCAGTGCAGGGTCCGAATGTGAAGGGAACCGATTCTGCAACATATCCGCCTGCTAAAGTAAAAATCGTTACAGCTTTTTGAACACATTTCAAATTTTAAAGTTTACGTGCGCTTATAATAAAACAAGTTTTTTCAAGGGGTGCGCTTATAATCGAGGAGGGGATATAAGCGCCATATGCCAATTAGAAGCGCCAGGCGCTTATCCTAGGGTGGCGCTTATATCCGGGGGGAGACGGTACCAAACAATGCCACGCCTAAAATGAGTACTTAAATGAGAGAGAATACTTCATGGGGCCAACATCACAGGCATGCAAAATAGTATGGTAACCCTATTCGATTGTATGCAAAACTGTCGATACCTCGGTTTTGGAGGTATTGACATATTGCCCTAGAATCGCGGTTCTGTTGAATTCAAAAACGGAATTTTACCACGCTTTTCTTTCCTCTAAAATTCGTTTTATTCGGGCGACTGTTCTGCCATATGAGCAACACTGTTCGCTACACCTGCAGAAAAAATAAAACCCAATCAGAAAGGGATGCAACTCGGGAGGCATCAACCCTAAAAACAATGCCCTTTCCCGTGTTTAGGGTTGATCCTGCTGCGATCAGAAGTTGATCGTAGCCCAGGATCTACTCTGGAAGGTTCGCACGCAGTGAGGTAGTGTTGGTGGGCCCTTGACCTCAATAGCAGAGTGAATGTAAAATGCTTGAGATAATGAAAACATGCAAATACAGTGGTATAAATATGAGTACAAGGGAATCTGAAACGTCCTAGCTAGCCATGTACCTGCATCCCAACCGTTCGGCGCGTACAGTTTCGTAACTGTTCCCGCCAAAACCATCCTGCCTGCAGCTGTCCGATGCTGTTTGCTTCCGACGGTTCAGATGTGCTGTAACCGTCCGACTCTTTGACTCAATTCCAACCGTCTGACGCTTGCGTTTATTCCCGATATCGTGTGTTCCTTGCTACGGTGAGGAGTGCATAGTAATATCGGGTATTACTATTCGTAACACCCCCCTTCACTCCTGGCCGTAGCTTGGCTTGACCTGCTTGACCACGCCGCTGAGTTCGGAGCAGTGCTGATACTGCTGACGTGGCAGCCGCTTCGTGAGAAAGTCTGCTGCCATGTCACCTGTTGGGCAGTAGGTCAAGTTGACCTTGCCTTTGTCCACTTCGTCTTTCACGAAGAAGTACCGCATCGCAATGTTCTTGGTGCGGTTAACGAAACCAGGCTTGTTCGCAATGCGAATCGCGCTCTGGTTGTCGCAGTGAAGACGAAATGTCGGCGAAGCTGGAATTTTCGCCTCTTGCAGGAGTTCCTGCAGATAGAGGCCTTCGCGAACTGCTGCGGTTGCTGCGATGAATTCCGCTTCGGCTGATGACAGGGCAACCAACTCCTGCTTCTGTGAATTCCAGGAGATTGGTCCCGTAGGCTCGAGTCGGAACAGGAACCCAGTCCTGGACCGTCAATTATCGGGATCTGCTGCGTGATCGGCGTCCACATAGCCGGTGAGATTGAAGGATGGGGTTGGTGCAGTTGAGTAACGCAGCCCAATCTTGGGCGTTGAAACGAAGTATTGGAGGGCGCGCTGTAGGTCCAGAAGATTTTCAGCCGTTGGTTTGCGTGAGTACTGCGCAATCTGACTTGCGATGTACGAGAGGTCTGGCCTGCAGGTGACAGAGGCGAAGAGGAGGCATCCCAACTGCTTTTGATAAGTCCGAATCCCAGCGGGGGATAGGGCTTTGGCGTTGGGTTTGTAGTTCGGTCCGGGGTTTCAGTAGGGAGTTGAGAGAGGTGCAGGTGAAATATTGAACCGCTTCCCTAACTCCTCTGCGTACTTAGCCGCTGAAAGGTGAATGGCTTCAGGTGCGTAGGTTATGTTGAGGCCCAGGAACTGCTTCACCTCGTAGTTGCATGTGATGTCGGCGCGCCCCGCCAGAGCCTTCTCGAACTGCTGGAGGAGCTCGTTGTTCGAGCCTGTGTAAAGCAGGTCGTCGACGTACACAGTGAGGAGGGTGTATTCGCCGCAGAAATCGCGGCGGTACATCCCTGGATCGTGTGGCATTTGCTTGAACCCGATTTCAAGCAGGATGTTATGCAGGTACTGCTGCCACAGCCTTGGGGCCTGCTTGATCCCGTAGAGTGACTTGCGCAGCTGACATACGCGCGAGTCTCCTTCGCCGTAGGTGTGTGGCTGTTCCAGGTAGATCACGGCGTCTACTAACGCATACAGGAACGCGTTCTTCACGTCGATTTGACGTAGTGGCAGGTGCCTTGCAGCTGCGATGGCGAGCAGGATGCGGACGGAGGTGTGGCGGCTGACTGGGGCGAACGTCTGGTCGAAGTCGATCCCATGCCTCTGGTCATATCCGCGAACCACCCAACGCGCTTTGAAGCGCTCAATCGTCCCATCCGCTGCGGTTTTTACGCGGAAGACCCACTTCCCCGAGAGGATTCTTGCGCATTTGATCGCTGCGCGATCGACGAGCACCCAGGTGTTGCGTGACTCCAGTGCCTTGATTTCCATGTCCATCGCCTCACGCCACTCCTTGCTGTGTGGTCCAGAGAGTGCTTCGCGCGGGTTTCGGGGCTCGATGATGCGTGGTGCCTGCGAGGTTGCGGTGTGAAGTCCGAGTAGCTGCAGCCCTGAGATGGTGCTGTCGTGGCGACGTTGCAGGATGACTTCCTGCACATCATCGTCGTCACTCTCCGGTTCAGGTGCTGGCGGTGTTGTGCCTGTGCCACTTCCGCCTGTTCCGTCTCCGCCTGTTCCGCCTGTTCCTCTTCCTGAGGAATCATCATCGTCGTCGTTGTCGTTGCGCGGGTTTTCCCATGCAGAATCCCCCCTTGTGTCCTGCTCCAAGATTGCTGCAGCGGCTTCGTCTTCGGGCGTTGTGTAGCTGTGGCCGTCGTTGGCGTAGACCCGATTCGCATTTGTCTGCTCGTCGCGGCGGAACTGGTCGAGGAAGAGACGCTCGTAGAAGACAACGTCGCGAGCGTGAGTGGTTTTCTGACTGAGGAGGTCCAGCACGATCCACGCCTTGTGCTCGTGACTGATGCCGAGGTGGATTCCCCAGCGTGCGCGGCTGGCGAACTTGCCGATGGTTGAGGTCGGCGGGCGGTATTGAACCATGCACCCCCATACCCGGAGCATGGAGGTGTCCCCTTTGGTTCCACTCCATTTGACGTGCGGGGACAGGTTCCCGGTAATTGCGGTGGTTAAAAGCAGGTTGTGTACCCGCACGGTGTGGTGCATCGCGTAGGTCCAGTAGATCGGCGGCAATTTCTACTGCTTCATCAGCGCGCGCACCTTCGTCATCAGTGTGCGATTGGTCCGCTCGGCTACGCCCTGCTGCTGGTGCGCGTAGGGGAGAGAAATGTGGTGCTCGATCCCCTTCTGTGTCAGGAAGGTCTACATCTGGTTGCTCCTGAATTCTGCCGCGCCGTCAAATTGCCAAATCTTGAGTTTCTTCCCGGATTGCCTCTCCGCATGCGCCAGCCAAAGCCGAAATACTTCGTATGCTCTGTCGCGCGTCTCCACATTTACGACCCACACGTAGCGCGTTCCGGCATCGATGAAGGTGAGAGTGTACATTTCGTCTTCGACTCCGCAATGCCCCACGTTCAGGAAGTCGCTGTACACCTTGTGCAGCTTGGGGTAACGATTCGTTCCAGGTTCGAGTAGCGGGAACGGTTGGTGGCTTAGCGCAGCTTCAGGGCAGACGGTGCAGTTGCGTGGATGTGTCGAGCCGCTTACTTCGGAGCCATCGGGGCGCAGGAGTGCGCCAGGAGCGAAGACGCCTGCGTCGATGAAGTTTTTTAGCGTCGCGCGGGAAGGGTGGCCGAGCCGCTGGTGCTAGAGTGCGTCGTCAGCGCGAAAGCCGGAAGTGCGCATGTAGCGCGTACGTGCTTCCTCAGGGTCTTCGTCAGGTGTGGGGGTTGGTTCCGTTGCTGCTTCCTCTGCTTCTTCTTCTTCTGCCACGGTAGTCAGCATCAGCGCCAAGAATTCTCTGTCCCAAATTTCGGAGAGCGGGATGTTAGTCCCAGGGATGGTTCCAGGGACGAAAGTGGGTTCGCGGTGCTCAGGGGCAGGTCCGTAGGCGGTTTGACGCGATGTTGACGGTTCGTTGCCCTAGGTGATAGTGTCCCATGGATCGCGGTGCGGGGGGTTGTCAGGAGGAGGTAGTGCGAGTGAAACGTGGCGCAGGGGACGACCGAGAGGAACGATTGCGGGTGTTGCCTGACTTTCCTCAGCTTCATCTTCTCCCCCCTTTCGTTCTTCGCGGAGAGTACTCCAGGCGCTGTTTTCGGCGCTTGTTGCGGCGCCCCATCCGCCGTCCGCGTTGGTCCAGGTGCCGCCGTTGTCTCCTTAGCCGCTAGAGTCGCTTGTTCCCCATCCGCCAGCGCTTCCCCATCCTCCTTCGTTGGAGTCTTTTTCTGCCGCTTCACCTCCCCAGGCAGCGCAAGTGAAGGTCCCGCGTGCCTCTGTGAGGCTGTGCTTGCGAAGCTCCTCAGCTTCGCGGCGCGCCAGTTCTTCCTCTTGCTCCATGGTGAGTTTCTTCGTCGAATCGCATTGGTGAGGGTAGGTCTCCAGGAATTTCTCGTAGGTGTAGGGTCGCGGTTCGCCACGGGCATCGAAGGTGCCGACGCCAGTTCCGCGCAGCATCCCCTGAAGGTGTTGCGAGGGGGGATCGATGAGGGGATGTTCTGGCGTGCCGAAGACGCCGTGGGTAATGACTTCGAGCTCGAGCTGCGACATCCCTTCCCTTGGAGGCACGTGGCGCTCTGCTTCAGCGATGGCGACGAGTCCCCGACCGGCAATCGCGTTCGTTGAAGTCGTTGGCGTGTGACAATCCCTGCATATTCCGTCCGGATCGGGATTGTGTAGTGCCGTTTCGCGTGGGTGAGGATGGTGCGGAACCCACGGTCTGCCGTCAGGGTGTTTCCAGTCCCTGCGGTGGATGTGCTCGAAGCCCAGTGGCACGAGGTCAATAAGTTTGTGCGAGTCGCCGCTGCAGTCGGGGATGTCGAAGTCCAAGACGTATACTCCATTTTCGGAGCGCGCTCGTCCGATCTGCCTGCGGGGGGAGTTGCGTGCTTTGTAGTGCAACAGGATGTCTCGCGTCGCGTGGTCCGTGCTGAGGTCGACGCCGCAGTCCATGAGCTGTGCGGCGCACAGAAGGTTGAAGCGCAAGTTCTGGACGATCAATACATCGTTGAGTGTGATGTGGGTGCGGCTTCCGCGTGCCTTGAGCACGACGATGCCTTGCGCGCTTGCACGCAGGCGTGTATTGTTCGCCACAGTGACATAGGTGACGGTAGGGGTGGGGACGGCGTTGGATATGTAACGCTCGGAGCCCACCATGTGCTGGCCGCAGCAGCTATCCAGGTACCAGGTGTTGTAGCGCTTGTTGTCGTCACGTGCGAGCAGCGCCAGTCGCGGCGTAACGATGTGCGGAGTGTCGAACTTGAGAAATTGTTCGCGCGTGAGCCAATCAAGTGGCGCCACCCGCATATCAGGGACGTGCGGGGGACTTTCGAGCAGCGGGACCGGGAGATTCCAGTCCTGGTCGTCGTCGTCGGTGAAGTCGCGGCGCGAGCTGAAAGGGTTGTTGTTGGTATATGCGCCAATGGGGTGTGGTGCTGGCTCAGGTGAAGGTGAGCGCATGCGGCGACGACGCGACTCGCTTGTCATGGTCATGTTGCTCATGACATTGCGAACTGGGGCAGTCGATGACGACTGCTGCTGCTGATGCTGAACCGCTGGGTTCAGGTTGCGCGCAGGTGGGAGTTGTTGTCCCTAGGCTGAACGCACGTCGCCTCGTGCGTCTTGTCGGCCAGTCCAAGTGCTCGGGTTGGACTGGCGAGGGCGAGATCGGAAGTTGCATCGATCTGCCAGGTGCCCGAAATTTCTGCAACTTTTGCAGTAGAGGCGCCTCGGTCGTCGCTCTTCGTTGTTGTCGGCGTAGAAGGCGAGCCGTTCGCGTTCTCGTCGCGGCGCTGGTCGCTGCTGATCCATATCCCTCTGTTCGACGAGAAGGGCGGCGCAAAGGGCGGCCTCCGAGATGACCCCCTGATGTCGGAGAAGCGCCTTGCATGGCCGCCACTTTGGGCCGAGCCCTTGGAGCACGATGTTGACGAAGATTTCATCCGATATCGTGCTTCCCAACTTCACGATTTGATCGCGAAGGCTCCGACAGCGGTTAAGGTAGTTGTTGACCTTCTCCCCTGAGGTCATCTTGCTTTCCAGTAGTTCCTGGAGTAGTCGGCTCGAGGACACGGAGTCCTTAGGCTGATATACGCCTGTCAGATGTCGCCAGGCGTGGAGGGCTGGAGCAGCTGTCGTTTTGTACGAATGAATGTTGAGCTGCTCCGTCGCCGACATATTCCGCTGGAGCACTTTGTACGCCATCAACGATTCGTTGTAGTACCTCGCCTTGGTGTCGTCGGTGTCCTCAGCAGGCTCCGCGTAGCTCCTGTCGAAGTAATGGAAGATTTGGGCGTTCTGCAGCAAAAGCTCCAATTCGAAGCTCCATGTATAGAAGTCTCTGCCGTCAAAACAGGTACTTGTCTTTATTTTTGATATGCTGAGAAACCTTGATTGAGCGGAGAGAATTGCCTCTTCACTAGGACGGGGAGTCTTGGGGGTTGAGCCATTGGTGTTGAGGGAGAATGTTTGCGGGGCGATGTTTTGGCCAGTCGGGGCCGGTTGAGAGGGTTGCGAGGAAGTTCTCGCATCGCCGTTTCGCAATGTTTGGAGTCCTTGCTCCAAGCTGGTGAGTCGCTGAAGAAGTTGTGCGAGAACTTCGGAGTCGATTGTCGTCGTGTTCCCGCTTGTCGCAGCCGGGTTGGGTTGTGTTTCAGCCGTCAGATTAGTCTGACCACTAGATCCTCCGGCCATTCTCGTGCACGATCGTGTGCCGGTCGCCACTTTCGAATGTCGTAATTTTCGGGAGTGACGGTGCGAAGGATTCCAGAGCCGCTCTCATACCATGCTACGATCAGAAGTTGATCGTAGCCCAGGATCTACTCTGGAAGGTTCGCACGCAGTGAGGTAGTGTTGGTGGGCCCTTGACCTCAATAGCAGAGTGAATGTAAAATGCTTAAGATAATGAAAACATGCAAATACAGCGGTATAAATATCAGTACAAGGGAATCTGAAACGTCCTAGCTAGCCATGTACTCTAAGGGGTACATTCCCTTATTCAACTGCATCCCAACCGTTCGGCGCGTACAGTTTCGTAACTGTTCCCGCCAAAACCATCCTGCCTGCATCTGTCCGATGCCGTTTGATTCCGACGGTTCAGATGTGATGTAACCGTCCGACTCTTTGACCCAATTCCAACCGCCTGACGCTTGCGTTCATTCCCGATATTGTTTGTTCCTTGCTACGGTGAGGAGTGCATAGTTATATCGGGTATTACTATTCGTAACAGATCCCTCCCTGAAATGAGTCCAGGTCCCTAGTGGTTTTATTTTTTTTCTTGCCTGCATTGACAGTACCCGGTAGCAATATATATATTACTTTCATTCCAACGAAGTTTTCGGTCGAAATTATCGTGCACATTCGACGGAAAATAGTTGCCCGCAGGAAACGTTGCTAGGCGCCAAACAAGGCGCGGTAAGAATAGAATGAAACGAAATCTAAAGCGTAATCGATTGTTGCACGTATTGCTTCCTTTTTGTGTTGCGTCAGCTGTTACACAGTGTTTTGAGTGGCGGTACCAGACAGATTTGCGCAGTGGAACTGGGGTATCGACGGTTTTGCATACAATCGAATAGGGTTACCAGACTGTTTTGCATGCCTGTGATGTTGGCCCATACTTCATGGCATATTTGCATCTACGGCGGGTTCGAAAGCGACCGAAGGTACACCCTGTTTCTCAACTTTCTGACAATCAGGAGCCCAGGCTACAGTGCGAACGTGCACTTGGATTTTGCGGGCTGGTGCTTGCAGCCGAACCCAGGTAGGTGGCGGGCAAATGCAGTCCATTTGAACGATACAAAACGTTTCATGTCAGAACATTGCTAACGAGTACGGTTGAGTGCGGCAAATTGTGCTTATATGCAATGTTCTGGGACCGTTTCGGACGCGTTGATGTCAGAATAGGCGGCATGTCAATACAGCGAATGTCAGTGTGGCGCGAAACAGGGTGTATAGATGGAATTGCGTAAGATGGCAATGCTGCTGATCTGTCTGGTTTTGAGCCACGGAGATGCAGGTGTCACTGAAGCGTGGAGAAAGGTTGGACCACGTGGCAGTCGGACGAGATGAATGTCGTGGTAACAAGCTCGACGACTTTGACGACGATCGAGGGAATTAGTTTTGTGCGTCGTCATAGGTCGTACTTCCAGATCCTTTATTCTCGTCCGTGAATTTTCTCCACATTCTATTCGCCTGTCGTTTGGCTGTCGTCATGCCCATAGAATCCAAGGAATCTGAGGAATCGCCAGCACCGTATTCAGACATCAGAAGCTTCTGTACCACTTTCGAATCAAATTGAACCGTAGTATACCTCTTTCTTCCTTCTGGCCATGGTTTTGCGTCCGTCCAATGAAATCCTGCTTGCTTCGTCTTTCTTGCAAGAACTGCAGATGCTACTCGCAGATGCTGGTCCGATCAAGCAACGAGCACCAAGAGAGTCCTTAGCGTGCATGAAAATCGACAACGATCGAAGCGCGATATTACCAGCAAGAGTCTGGGCCAAGAGGCTTTCGCAAGTGCGAGAAACAGATCTCCCTTAAGGTTCTTTGCAGAGTTCCGTGTGCAGCGAAGGGTCCCTCAGCTGTCTCTGCTACTGCTTTTGCTGACGAATCACTTGCAAACCCGACCACGTGATATTGCAGACGAATCCGTGTGTTCTGAGACGTTTCAGAAATCTTAGACGCCAACCAGTTGATCCGGCGAGGCCAGACTTAGACCCGTGTGTTCTTCAGAACCGGCGTCGAGATGGTGCTATGGGAGCTGACGCTGGCGACGGCGTATTTTCTCGGGCTCAAGCGCACGTACCGCCTGGCGCTCCGACTGCAGAAGAGGGTCCTCCTTTCGCGACCCGGGATTCGCGATTTCGCGAAAAGGTGAGCTGTGCGTTGTGATCGATCTCATCTCGCTGATTCGGTCTGGCGGATCTGATTTGACCGAGCTGATGATCGCTCCGATCCTTCGTGTTCGGATTGGATCTATCGGGCGTATCGCGCCTGAGTGATCCCACCTGACCGAAGGTGAGTTGTGAGTCGACTCCAACGTCACCTCCGCCGATTTCGCCTTGCTGAGGACACGTGACCGATCCTGCGTTTTTAAGACGAACCGCATGACTTTTGTTGGCCGAACTCAGCACCTGGCCGATCAAGGCGGGCTGACTGCGCATGGCGAATCCTGGTCTGGCCTTCCGCTTTCCGTCATACGATTGTGTAACGTTGAAAGGTTCGCACATGTCTTTGGGTGAAAAGGATCTCAGAATCAGAGCGGGTTAGTCTTTTTGGCAATGCAGCTTTCTGGCAAGCGAATAAGGTAGCTGCAGGGAGATTGTTCTGTTCTGCAGCTCCATTGTTCGCTTCCTTAGTCACTGAGCTCCTTCGCCCTCCCACTCTCTCACTCATGCTCTCAGTCACACGATTCTTTAATCTGAGCGGGTCTGAGCCGGTGCGTCTTTTCACCAATGCAGCTTTGGGCATTCACACCGTTCGCCATGTTCTGCAGCTCCTCTTGTTCGCTTCCTTCGTCTCTAATCTCCTTCGCTTCCTTCGTCACTAATCTCCTTCGCTTCCTTCGTCACTAATCTCCTTCGCTTCCTTCGTCACTAATCTCCTTCGCTTCCTTCGTCACTAATCTCCTTCGCTTCCTTCGTCACTAATCTCCTTCGCTTCCTTCGTCACTAATCTCCTTCGCTCTCTTACTTTCTCGCTCATTCTCCTGCTCCCTTGCTCCCTTATCTTGCCCTCCCTTCTCCTTCCAGGCGCACACGAGCAGTGTTCCGAGTGGCACTAACAGCCGTTGAAACCATTCAGCACAGGGACATCGAGATTGGTCGCTTCGTGGGAAACTTGTAACTTGGTGGGCTTACCGCTCCTCCCCCGTTCTCTCTTCCCCCATTCCCCCTTCCCCCCCTCCCCCTCCCTCCCCACTCCTTCCGTTACCCCCCATGTCTCCTCCCACAGGCGCACGCGAGCAGTGTTCCGAGTGGCGCTGACAGCCGTCGAGACCATCCAGCACAGGGAAATCGAGTTTGGTCGCTCCGTGGGAAACTTGCAACTTGGTCGCCTTCCGCTCACCCCCCTTTCTCTCTTCCCCCCTCCCCCTCCCTCCCCCCCCCCCCCCCCCCCCCCCACCTTCACCCCTCCCCGCACTCCACTCCTTCCGTTACCCCCTGTGTGCCCCCACCCCACAGGCGCACGCGAGCAGTGTTCCGAGTGGCGCTGACAGCCGTCGAAACCATCCAGCACCGGGACATCGAGATTGGTCGCTCCGTGGGAAACTTCCTCCTCCGCTTCCTCGACCGCATGAAGCCCTCGGCGCACATCCGGGGAGATGGTCCCATGCCAGGAGGGGCAGGAGGAGGAGGGGGGTTTCATTCAAGCCATGGGGCAGCCGTGCCGGGAGGTTCAGCAGGGGCCACTGGGGCCGTTTCAAAGCAGAATGCGGGAGCAGCAGAGGGTAGTAGTGCGTCCGTTGCAAGGCACGGTGTTGCAGGGCTGCACGCAGGTGGTGCAACAGCAGCAGGAGAGCACGCCAGTGGCAGTAGTGCCAGCAACGGCAACAGTGGCAGCAGCAGCAGTGGATCAATCAGCAGCAGCAGTAGCAGAGGTTTCAGCACCATGATTGGCCTAGGCGGAAGCAGCAGCAGCCCTGTTAGCAGCTGCGTGGGGGACCAGAGACACTTTCACACACACTCGTTCAACTCCGACCAAAAACTCTCGTTCTTCCCGCAACACCTGCCGTTCCTAGCACAGCTCCAGTCCCTCACATCCCTCCCAAGACACACGGTGCCAATCACTTCAGATTTATCACTTCATATTCGTCAAGCCCCTTCACCCGTCTTACCAGCTGCACTGCATTCCCGAGCCGCCATGCCTCACTATGTACACTCTCCCTTATTTCTAAAGGCCTTGTTTCCATCACATTCCATCCCTAATCCCTCCACATATCTAGCGCAACATGCCACCCCTGCTGCGTTTTCCTGCATGCCAAGAATAGTCCAGCCGCTGCTGGCATGCCCTCCCAGATGACCAGCGTTGTTGGAGTCGCCGCAAACAGTGCTTCAAGCCTCGGTTTTTGCATGCCTGAAGAACAGTCGAACCACTGGTGGCATGTCCGCTGATGTGACAAGCATGATTGAAGCTGCCGCACACAGCAGCTCAAGTGTTGCCAGTCTATTGAGGATGGCCGGGTTTGGCTTACCAAGGATAGGCTGACAATGTGAGCCATTCATTGCAAGAAAGAATAGAAGGTTCTCTGGAGCAATTCTTCCACGTAATTGATCAGATTCTCCAATGCTTAGGTACTACTCCCTCTGAAGAAATAATGATGCTGTTGACTTTCTGGCAATTAAGTATAAGTGTTCTTCTTTGCACAAACAATACAGTGTAATTTAAATTACGTGCAAATTTTAAGCATCCGTTGTAGTCTAGTCGGTTAGGATACTCGGCTCTCACCCGAGAGACCCGGGTTCAAGTCCCGGCAACGGAAAAACTTTTGCTAGGCTCTTGTTGGTAGTTCTCATCCCGTACATCCCACTCAAGAATGAAGTCTAAGGGCGTCTAACTTTTTCCGTCAGCCCGGAATGTCCGGACAAGGCACCCAAACCGTCCGGACGGAGCCTCGTCCGGACGTTAGGGATTCAGGTCCGGACGGAGCCCCGTCCGGACCTCGCATTTGACACGTTTTCCACTTTCGAAATTCAAAAATTTAGGCGAAATGTAACAGGCATTACCTGTCAAGTTGACCTCTCGCTATTTTCGCCAACTCCCTTTTCGGCGACTCGACAATGAGCCACTCAACCACCCCGTCACCAAACACAATTGCAATCACACTAGTGCTGCTCAAGGCAATAAACCGAACGATAGAAACCAGGCAGCGCCCTCTTCCTCTCTGCTCACCTATTCCTAACGTCATCACGACAGCTAGTCGCCGTGCTGACACTACTCTACCGCGGGTATCAGCAGTTTTTTGGTTGGCCGCGTTACGAATGTGTCGTTGAGCTCCTGCCTTTCATGACGACGATAGGGAGTACATGCAGCAGGATCGAGAGGTTCAACGAGATAGGTGGCAGTCCCTTTTTGAAAATGTCCCTCTGCAAATATTCACCGAATGCTTTAGGGTTAATCGTAACGTTTTCAACAACCTTGTCGACACATATCTTTGTCGTTATGGTGATAGGGGACGTTTAGTCCCGGTTGAAACCGTCGTCGCTATGATATTTGTCAAACATATATGACATAGTCAGTGTAGGCTGTAGTGGGGTAGACTATATGGGGTACAACACTACTAGGTTTTCTTACTTGTACACATCTCCTTGCTAGTTTAGTCATTCCTCTTTCTTCACACGGTATAGAGCGGGTTCCCTAGTGGGACCGTTTATTCATAAGGGCCCACCATCTATTTTTTTTTTTCCTACCCTGCCCGAAGTGCGCTTCGCGCTCTGACCTGCCCTACCCTTTCGCGGCCCCTTAGTGGCTTGTCCTGCTCCTGAGGCCCGTCGCGGCCCCCCTTTGCGGCCCCTTCGCGGCCCCTTAGCGGCCCCTTCGCGACCCCTTAGTGTTGTAGAGGACTCTCCTCTACTTTGCAGGAACTGAGAATTGTTCTAAACAGTAGATTACTCTGCTAGCTTTCCAACGGGCCGTGGATCACCTCGTTCGCCTAAGTATCGAGCGAGATATCGCCGTTTATGTGCTAGGTAGTGCTCTTAGATTGAAGGATAGGAGCTCTCTGGAATTTGTGTTCGAATGTACCTTGTACAAAGAACTTGAGTTTCACTATGATGGTATGCAATACAAAGAAAACATATTTATAGCATGCAAACAAGATCGAATCGCACAAGTAACCTCGAACCGCTACACTCGCGAATGTTCGATTAACATCGAAAGGGTGAAATTCGACTCTCGAATTTCACCGATCCGAATTCTCCTTGGGTCTCGAATGTTCCTGGTGCTGCCATGTGGCACCGAATCGAATGGGTCTTCCGAAGTCAATCCTCAACCCCACGCAAACCTGCAACTCACTCGAAGGTGAGAACCAAAAAGCAGCACCGTTCGGTGGTTGGGGGCAAAACCTAGCCCCACGCAACCTCCAACACTCCCCCTTGCACCCAAGCCACTAGGTGCTCAATCCAACACGCTCACAGCATGCACGGAATGAATCCTTAGGGAGTGGTTTAGTGAGGAAGTCCGCGGGTAGAGCTTTGGTGCTTATGTAAGTGAGTTTGACCTCACACTTCTCAACCGCCTCACGAATGAAGTGATGCTTCACTTCGATATGCTTGGTTCGTCCATGAAGGACCGCGTTGTGAGAGAGGCTTATGGTGGCTTGGTTGTCACAAAAGAGAGGAGTTGGGTTCGTTTGAGGATGCCCAAGCTCCGCTAGAAGGCGTCGTAGCCATATCGCCTCCATGGCACCTTGAGTGAGTGCCATATACTCCGCTTCCGTTGAGCTTAGAGCCACGGTTGGTTGCTTCTTGCTTTGCCAACTCACGGCCGCCCCAAGCAAGGTGAAGACATACCCGGAGGTACTCTTGCGCGTGCTCGGATCTCCCGCGTAGTCCGAGTCGGCATAGCCCTTGAGTTCAATCGGGCCGGCTTCATACACGAGCCCCAAGTTAGGTGTGCCTTGGAGGTAGCGTAGAACGCGTCCTCCCGCGCGCACATGCTCGGTATGAGGGTTGCTCACGACTCGTCCAAGCACCCCGGCGGCGTATGCGAGGTCGGGACGAGTAGAAACGGCGGCATACATGAGCGAGCCCACTAGCGAATGAAACCGCTTCCCTTCGGCTCCGTCGAGGGTGGATTCTTCCTCTCCCGTGAGGCAAGAAAACCCCGTAGCTAGTGGTGTTCCCACCGGTTTGCTATCGCCCATGCCGAAGCTCTCCACTACCCCCTTCACATACTTCTCTTGGTGGAGGTGGATGGTCCCGTTGGCTCGGTCACGGTCGACATGCATCCCAAGATAGTACGTGACCGGCCCCAAGTCCCTCATAGCAAACTCCGCTCCTAGTCGTTGCTTGACCTCCCGTATGAGGTCTTTGGAGTCGGAGAAGAGGAGTAAGTCATCGACGTAGAGTAAAAGCACCAATTTCCTCTCCCCCTCCTTCAACACGTACAAAGCGCTATCGCACTCGCTACGCGCGAAGCCGTGTTGAAGAAGAAAGTCGTCGATGCGCTTGTACCATCCGCGTGGACTTTGCTTCAAGCCGTAAAGGGTGCGCTTGAGCTTCCACACCCTTCCGCTACCGTCATCGTACCCCGGGGGTTGCCGCATGCATCGGACGAAGGACGAACTACTCTGGTAAATTTCTGGTAATAGTTCGGCTGTTTGCTCGAGTGTTGTGTGCTGGAAAATCCCTCGCAATAGGCTAGGGGCGATTGTGGGTCAACAGAATCACGTGGCAGGTACTCCGAAGATATGGGGGTAACGCTGTCGCTGAATCGGCGGGAAAACTACTGGAGGCTCTTCGTGTGTTGCTAGTTTCGAGAAGCGCGTTACCACATTTCGTCCTCCTCTCAGAACATTGGAACAAATCGTTCGGGAACCTAAATGGAGTCGCGCAAAAGATTGTTGGGTTCTTTTGTAGCACTCGAGTCTGTCATAGTAACGGTTGATATTGGTAACCACTGGGATTTGCGGCAATTGAAATCACACACTAAAAGGAACACTTGACTCACTAAAGATATCTACACCTAGCTACTAATAACTTTAGGTGTAGAAAATGATCAATTATTAAAAATTTCTAATTTCGTCCGTAACTCAATAATAGCTATTAATTAGAAATTCAGCAGAAACAAATAAAAACCAATTTTCCAGCGCATCAATTAAATTCCGTTGGCCAAATTAGAAATTAGCATTAAATCGTTTGCATACAAAAAGTCTCACTACACATTGCTGTTTCCATTGCTAGGATGCTCCAAAACATCATAATTCCAATCCTTCAGAGCTACACCCCCCAGGTCATAAAACCCACTCTCAGATACGATCCCAGCTTTGTTGAGCCAATTTAAAATCTGATCTTGCCTCTTGTCCATCTCCCTCATGTTGATGGTGCTGTCGGGAGACAAGCTGGGTTTTCCAGTGAGCATGCTGTGCTCCACCTGAAAGGCCCATATCATACCATGAGACAATACAACAGTAGTCAACGTAATGATGACAACCAGGAAAACAGATTAAGATACAATGCAACCAAATACCCAATTTATGGATTTACTGACTCACCGCCAGAAACATGTAGCACATCTGATCGATGGTGAGCGCAACCACTGTTGGCTCATCCTTGTACCACGCGGCAGCCGCCTCATTGAACGCATCACTGGAAAATGGTGTTCCGTCACGAGCATGCCATGGTACGCCAAAATCCACTGCAATGATGCGCCACAATTTTGGTCAGGACTTTAAACGCTTCAAGGGTGAACAGAACACAATTTAGCCATATACCTGTCCAGTTGTCGTCGGCGTACTTGCGCCGCGCGTCTGCAGTGTTAGGAAGTGGATCCCCTAACATGTCACGCAGAAGAGGGTAAGCCACTTCACGAAACTTAGTACTCAGCTTACCCCTACGACTGTTACCCTGGGTAACAATCTTAGCAGCAACGCCGCCATTGATCCACACGGACTCGAAATAGCGGAGCTCCTTGTCCAGCACGTCGAGGTCAGCAATGAGCTCCGCCTTGTAGTCCCTTTCCGAAGGATATATCATCCTCTTCGACAACTTCGGCCCGTTGAGGAACATGTCCACAACATCACTTATTGATGTCTGCAGTGGGACAACAAACGTAATCAGCATCGAGTATTTTTTACAAGGACAATAAAACAGAGCGAATAAAGGGAACACAGCATGTGTACATTTATCTTAGCTTCGTCGGCCCAAGGTGGTTTGATCACGTGGATCATCAGCTCCT